GGTTTGGGCCAATAATAAGTTATTGGGTTTTATCAAGACTATGAGTTGAATTGGGTTGGAATTGGATTCCAAGCCCAATCAAAAACATGCGCCACATTTGGCCCTTTAGAGCAGAATTGTTTCTTGCTAATGTGATCAAATGTTTAGTTAGGCCCAGCAGGGTCTTTGGGCCATGGATCCTAGAAAGTCAAAAGTTGATTTGACCAAAATAAGTTTTGGACAAATTCGAAATTTGAATTTTGAAATTCGAATTCAAATTTAAATTACGAAATTCAAAATTTAAATTTTGAAATTTGAATTTTGCAATTTTGAATTTCAAATTTGAATTCAAAATTTGAATTACGAACTAGGATAACAATGAAGTTTAAATTTTGAATTTAAAGTTTGAAAAGTTTAAAATTTGAATTTGAAATTTGAACTCACGAGATTGGGTTGTTGATTGATATCTAATGGAGATTGGATATAGATTTTCTGAACAGTTTTGTTTGAATTTAGAATTTAAACAATACTGTTGGAGCTACAAAATGGAGAAGATCATGGTGATGAATTTCGAAATTTTGAAGATGGTTCTTCTAGAATCTAATTCAAAATTTCAACACTTGAATTTCATATTTTCAGCTCTTGGAATTTTTTCGAAATTTTGGAGCCTCTGGAGAGATGTTGATTTCGAATTTTTAGCAAAATTGGTGGAAGAGATATTCTCTCAAACTACTCAATCTTTCAGTATCTTTGAAGATTTGTTTTTAAATTTAATATTCTGATTTTTTGAATTAAGAATCTTTAAAGATCACTTGTGAAGATATAAGAAAGCAAGAATCTTTTCAAAGTCTACAAGAGACTGAAAATTCGCCCCTCTCTACAAGAGAAGCTCCTCTGTGTTTTTTTTGAAAAAGATCATCACCTATTCTTCTCCATTTTTCGCCCCACACCTAATCTCAAGACAACAATCATAGTCTTGAGAAAATTAATCAAACACTTGTAAATCCTCTAGCCTTCATTCGCCTAGCAAGCAACTAAGGACAAGGAGGATCAAGGAGAAGAGTTCTCTGCTGCGACATTGGAGATAGCTGTGTGGACTATCATTAGAGGGCATCATCCTTTTGAAGCCTAAAAGAGATCGGAATAAGGTAATTCTAAATCCTCTCGTGTTTCAATGAGCGTTTTCTTTCTAAATCACATGAGGGCATAGATTGTCTATGCATTCCGCTTTCAGGAAATTTTTTATTTTTCCCTCATGTAGGCATATCATTGTGCGACAATGATGGTGCTAAAGTTTCGAACTTTCAATTCTCACCAAGGAGAGGATCGCTAGATAGGGGGAGAACCTTTTTGTCATGCTTGCAGTAATGTGGTGGAGGATATCCTTTATGTTTCGAAGGGCTGTAGAAAGGCCAAATATATTTGGAGGAGTAAGTTTGTGAATGACATCCCTACTGATTTATTCTCCTTGGATGCAAAGACTTGGTTGCGTCGAAACCTGTTTGGTGGGTGGAATCACAATCAGGTTTTCAGGTGGACAGACATTTTTATTACTACAATTTGGCATCTATGGCTGTGGAGGAATAACAAAATTCATGTGCCTATCTTCTCTAGGCCAATAAACCCCCCACTTGTTATTTCTAAATACATCTGTGAAACCAATTTGGCGTTGGGTTCTTCACATGCAGGCCATCGATTCCAGGAATCTTAACCAGGATTGTTGGAAGCCTCCCCAGATCCCCCATTGGTTGGTGGAAATTCAATATGGATGGTGTTGTGAACAATAACTTGAGCCTTGCTTCTTGTGCGGGGCTGATTCATGACCACAAAGGAAAGTGGCTGGCTGGTTTCTCTTATAGGATTGGCATTTGCAATCCTCTGATTGCTGAGCTTTGGGCCATCCTAAAAGGTTTACAATTTGCTTGGGATTTTGAAGCAAGAAATCCTTTTATAGAGAGTGACTCTCTTCTTGCCATTAAAGCCATCACCAACAATGGCAATTCAGAAAATCTCCCGCACCTAGTTTTCAGTATTAGAGAGTGGTTCAAGAAGGATTGGTAAATTAATTTTATTCATGTTGTCAGAGAAAGGAACTTGTGCGGGGACTGGCTTGCGGGAAACCCTTTGGTGTAACACCCCGTTCTAGAACCGGTTTGTTAACATTGCTTTATGATATTAAGCGCAGTTACAATCACATTGGTTCAATTGAAAACCCGGAGAAATTTTTTGTTTTCCTTTTTAAAATTACTTGTTTTTCCTTTTTAACAACGCCGAGTTTGATAAGCATGCATAACATTTCCTCGTACATATATCTCCATTAATTACAACATTACAATACGTCTTAATTACAATTCATGGGACTTAGCTACAAAACACTATGATCAACTCCTTGGCTCCCATCAACAAAAGAGATACCAAAGGAGATGAGCATAGGCTAAGTTCACCCAAATAAAACATGACATACATATAGCAATTAGCTTTCAAATGTAAATCCTATACATAGTATTACTATATGTCATGTATAATCCAAATATGGCCACTTGCCATCAGAGGCTCCTGCAGCATCCTTTCCTGAAAGGGGGTCCCCACAACACGGGGTGAGATATATGAATATATCACAGTAAACCAGGGGTCCTTGGAGCATCTCTCCACCCCATAGTTCAATAACAGTGTAATAGCAATAACAATAATAATGCAATAAATACATATCCATGCAGTGTGTAAACAAACATCTCCACGAGAAATCCCTCGAGCTCTCAAGCTGTCCTAAGGATACTCAGATGAAAATAGTCCTACTGGCCAGCTAAACTACCAAGTATGAATTACGCATCGTCATGCAACATACCAACATAGGGAAACACCATCCTATGCCACACCAAAGCATACACATACGTATAACAAAGCATTAAACTATTTCATTGCATTTATATACACTATCACAACCACTACCCAATCAGGGCTTGGTGGAACAATAAAAGGAATTACACCCAAGGTCTGAATGCTTACCTCAAAGCTTCAGTTCAACCTTTGTTCACCAACAAGTTTTTTCGCCATTTACAATAATCACTTTTACAAACAACCACCTACACAATATGTAATGCAATCAATACATTGCATTCAAGAATATCTCATAATCCTCAACCAAGCTATCTAACTCATGCTACAATGAGATAGGAACTTACCTATTCCAAAGGGCTAATCAAGCTCCATAGCTTGCTCCAACGGTTGGTCATTCAATGTTGGTCCCAATGCCTCAATCCTAACATCACACAAAGGCATAATCAACAACCAACCAAACCATGTATTACAATACTAGAAAATCAACACTTAACATAATTTTTCTAATACATAGACAATAACCAAATGGTTATCTAATCTCATTCCTACCGTTTATCTCTCATTAGTAACCACATTTACAAAGGACCTAAGCTTAAATCAATTTCCAACACGTACAACCCACAAAACACTATTCCTCAAAACCCTAACTCATGAAAATCTCAAAGGATTATGTGAAAGAGAGTGGAAACTTACCACCAATGGATCACACAACAAGGCAAGGTTGCTCCTCAAGCTTCCATGGAGGTAGAAACTCCCAAACTCCACAACTCCTCAAATGGGGCGAAATTTTGGAGGTTAAAATCTCTCTCCACAAAGACTTCCACTCAAAACCAAGCTTTGATTGTGAAAGAGGAGAAGATTTGTAGTAGTTTAGGCTTTGGAATGGATGAATTTGACTAAGGTTTGCTCAACCTAGGGTTTCCTCTTCTTCCTTCTTCTCCTTCCCTCCTTTTCCTTCTTTTCCTTTCTTTCTTTCCTCTCTTTCTGGTCCACGACGGGTTGGGGAGGGGTTTGGGTTCTTTTAATTGGCTAGTCACTTAACATAGTTAAGTGGAAATCGAGTGGGTACTGATTCATCTATCTATTCAACTCCATTAATTACCAAACTTTACCCAGAAGTCTGGAATATTATTCTAGGAATATTTCCAATTTCATTTTTATATTTTGGGTACTTTTGCCTACACCCATTTATATCCCTTAATTTTCACTGAGTACACTTTTTACCTCAAAAGTGACCCAAATTCACTTAATTAGGTCTCATACTTAATTTTACTCACTAATACATGCTTAATTATTTAATTATATATAATTTACTAATTAATTAAGTTAGGACTATTATATTCGGTACTAGGAAAGACATGGTTGTATATCAAAACATTCCTTCGGGCCTGGGTAGGAACTTGTATGGTATATTTCAGTAAATATTATTAATTTAAGAGTAAACTCTTAACGTGGTCGTCCTCACATTTAGTCCTCTAAAATTTGTTGCTACTAAGACCTTGCTTATAGATTAAAATTAGGTTGCATAATGTTGCTGCTTTCCTCATAAATATGACTTATCATTTCTCCGTTTCAAAAGCGATTATGATTTTATTTTTTCAGAAAAATATTGTCATTGAGTTATGCAGCAGCTGAACTAGAGATAAACATTTCGACGAGGAATTTGGGATAGTTGTTGAAAAAGCAGTTGCATTGTCCAGTTTGAAACAATGCTTTTGCTTGCATCCCGGGGTAATTAACATGCATGCATGATTTTGTATTTTCCCCTTATAAAATATTCACTACTTCGGAAACATTTACTAAGAATCTCTCCTTTGTCTTTGAAGATGCAATTTAATCATCCATATGACTTTCCATTTACTGTTCTGTGAGGAAATGAGAAAAAAGAGAGGGGGATAGAGAGAGAGAGAGAGAGAGAAGTTTTCCCTTTTGTTAAGTCAAAACATCAAAATGGAATATTTCAATAATGGAGTAAATAATCTTAGGTCATTTTTGCTAGAGATAAAATAGGCCAAGTCACATGATTTACAATGTTTGTTCAGAACCTTATATAAGAGGAACATACTAGCAATTTCAATTTCCTAGCAGGATAGTGAAAGTTATGTAGTGGTAAAGCTGTCTTGGCTGCATATTTGGAGCTCCTAGTTCTAGCTGCACAATACTACTTACCCCTCTTGTTTAAGCTAAGTTGGCAAATTAGAAATGCTGGTAGAGTTCAAAGGACTTTCTGTAACATTGTGAACTCTTCTTGAAAGTAGTCTCTTTTGAGATCCCCAATGTTTAATCACAGCCATCATTAGACTCCAAATTGTTCTCTGTCCATGACATAAACAATTCATAGAAAATATGTAAATTAAGAGAGCAGTGGTTGAAGTGCCTCCAGTTAAGATGAAGAGCACCACGAAGCTGCCAGGGCTAAGACTACTAGCTTCTGCACCTGGTTCTATGTCTTTGCATTCCTCTGATGCAAGCATACTGTTTTCTAGGTCACGTAGTGTGCCCTTTTCTGATATATTTAGAAGGGCTTTGTTTATTCCATGAAGCAATGGAGATCCCTTTGGAAATACCTACAATGACAATGCAACAGAATAAACATAAATTTGGTTCTGATTGAGGGTCTAGAAATTAATACAAGAGAAAAGTGAGAGAATTGTTGAAGCAATCATACATATCCATATCCTCCAATTTTGTATGTAGGACCAGCTTGAACAAACCCTTTACAGTGCTTTGCAAGGAAAATTTTGGCCTCAGGAATGTCAAGAAAGGCAGCTGCTATTTCTTTCTTTCTTAGGGCCTCGACATAGTTTTCAGGTGAGTCAAATTGTTTGATGTTTTCAGCATTGAAGTCCAATGCTTCCAGGAGATATCTTTTCAAGTAGGATCCTCTATCATATCCTACCATGGCATTGCTGTTCCTTAGGTGCTGAATGCTGTCTACAGTGGGTTCAAACCTTTCAACAGTCAGCATGCTGGCAAGGCTAGCTGTGTAAGTCTGTGTAATGATTAGAGCCACAAAAAGCCACACCACCATTGCCACCCTTGATAAATTGCTATGTAAGTTTTCTCCTGTGTCAGCAGATTAAGCCAAGTAATGTTATCCCCATTAGATAATGTGATGAACCAACCCTCCCAAAAGCTTAACTCTTGGGTGAAAATACATGAATGACTTTTAAATTATCACTTGGTCATGGACACTTTGATATCATGTCATGAATCAATTCCTCTCTCCCAAAAGGTTAAGGTGCTTGATGAAGATACATGAATGACTTTTATATGAGAAAATTTTCTCTCCTATTTGTTACGGCAAGGGTATCAAATATTGATAACACCAGTAGACACAAGAAAGGGAAATAAAGAAGAACAGTAAAGAAAGAGAAAGAGAGACAATTTTATTGAATCAAGTAAAATGGTTACAAGAGACTTGCTCTTCTCAAGGGAAAGGTTCCCTTCAATTCTGAGATGAAACTCAGAGGATACAAGACAATTCCCAAAAAGTGCCACAACAATTACTAATACTCCTATTTATACAAAATCCTCTCTCCCATTCCTCTTCCCACCGTAACTAACTTCTCAACCGTTTTGTACCTCTTCTCTACTTATTCTTGGTTTATTCCTACGGGTATAAAACCTCCATGTAGCAGGTTGGTACCTTGGTGATGTATCAACCGTAACAATACCTCCTTCCTGCGGAACAACCTTGTCCTCGAGGTTGAACTCCAGAAATTGCTGCTGCATAGTGGAGATATCCTCCCAAGATGCTTCTTCCATTGCACTAAAACTTGATCAACTGTCATTCTTTGTTTGGTAACAGATCTGCGATTTAGCACTGCAGCTGGTACATATTGTTCAGGATCAACCTGAAGCTCTACCGGTAATTGGCTTTCAACAGGATGATCTCCTACAGCCCTCTTAAGCTGAGAAACATGAAATACAGGGTGAAGACGTGCTTGTGGTGGTAATTGAACCTGGAATGCCACTGCACCAATCTGTTTAATGACCAGAAACGGACCATAATAGCGTGCTGCTAGTTTGGGATTCAACCGAGAGCCTAATGAATGCTGAGCATGAGGTTGAATTTTTAAGTAGACATGATCTCCCACCTTAATTGGAGATGTAGTACGGTAAATATTAGCCTTCCTAGACATATGATCCTGAGCCCTGTGTAGATGGAACCGAAGCTGGTGTAATGCCTCATCCCTGCTTAATAAATCTTGCGCTACAGATTCAAACAAAGTCTCCCCTGGAATATACTTGGTGATAGTAGGGGGTGCTCTTCCATAAACTATTTCGAAAGGAGTGGTTTTGGCAGAATTATGGTAACTAGTATTATACCAAAATTCTGCCCAAGGAAGGAAATGACCCCATTCTTTGGGTTGCTCACTGCAAAAACACCGAAGATAAGTTTCTAAAGTTCTATTTAGAACTTCAGTTTGTCCATCGGTTTCCAGATGATATGACGTACTAAAATTCAAGGCTGTACCTTGCAAACGAAATAATTCCCTCCAAAAATTGCTAACGAACGTAGGATCACGATCACTAACAATTGAAATACGAATGCCATGCAACCTCACCACTTCCCTAACGAAAATTTCAGCAATACTCCTTGTTGTGTAAGGGTGCTTAATTAGTATGAAATGCGCATACTTGCTTAGTCTATCGACCACCACCAAAATTGTGTCATATCCCTTAAACTTGGGCAGTCCCGAAATGAAATCCATGCTCAATTCTTCCCATATAGCATGAGGAATAGGTAATGGCTGTAATAGTCCAGCCGGAGAAGAAGCAAGATATTTGTTTTGTTGGCAAACTGAGCACGCTGCCACATATGCAGTAACAACACTTTTCATGCCTATCCAAAATATGGATTGAGCTAGGCGACGAAAAGTCCTATAAATTCCAGAATGTCCACCAGTGGGGGCAGTATGATATTCAAACAATAACTTCGGTACCCACACTGAACTGGCAGAGATGACCAACCTGCCTTTATGATGCAGACGTCCATTCTCCAGCGTATAAGAAGGGTGCAAACTAGGGTCCTTCTCCAAATCAGCAACTATTTTTTTTAACACCGGGTCACTCCTTACTTCTTTATCAATTTCAGAAAAATCTTGCCACACGAGACGAGAAAGTGCTAAACAATCCAAAACATCTTCTCTTCTAGAAAGTGCATCTGCTACTCTATTATGAGAGCCAGCTTATAACGGATCTCAAAATCATACCCCATTAATTTTGCCATCCAATTCTGCTGGTCCTGTGAAATAATTCAAAAGAAATTTCAGGCTTCTTTGATCAGTATAAACAGTAAATCGCCTACCCAATAGATAGGGCCTCTAATGTTGAATCGCAAGAACTAAAGCCATAAGCTCCTTTTCATATACAGACTTCGAAAGAGCTGTATGGCTTAGAGCTTTGTTAAAGAAAGCAATAGGGTGCTTTTCTTGAGCAAGCACAGCCCCTATACCCCTTCCAGAAGCATCACACTCAATAGAAAAAGGGATGGAGAAATTAGGCAAAGCCAAAACTGGAGTTTTGGTCATAGCTACCTTAAGTTGCTCAAAAGCATCTTTTGCTGCACCAGACCAGTTGAAATTACCCTTCTTTAGGAGATCAGTAAGTGGTTGAGCTATCTTGCCATAGTCTTTAATAAACCGCCGGTAGTAACCCGTGAGTCCAAGGAAACCCCTCAAACTCTTGATATTTTGTGGCGCAGGCCATTTCAACATACAATCTACTTTTCTCATATCCATGGCAACACGATGAGCTGAAATAATGTGATCTAAATATTCCACTTCAGTAAGGCCAAACCCACACTTCTTCTGATTTGCAAAAAAAAGATTAGATTTTAGTGTAGACAAAACTTCCCTCAAATGAATCAAATGCTCCATCCAAGTCTTACTATATATCAAAATATCATCCAGAAAAACCAATACAAACCTGCGCAGAAAAGGACTAAGGGTGTTATTCATTGCACACTGAAAAGTGGCAGGAGCGTTTGTCAAACCAAACGGCATAACAAGGTACTCAAAATGACCTTGATGGGTCCTAAATGCTGTTTTAGGAATATCCTCCTCACACATTCTAATTTGATTATACCCTGACCTTAAATCAATTTTAGAAAAATACATAGCACCAAACAATTCATCTAAAAGCTCTTCTACCACAGGAATCGGGAACTTATCTGGGATAATAGCTTTATTCAACGCCCGATAATCCACGCACATGCGCCAACTGCCGTCCTTCTTCTTTACCAGAATAACCGGGCTTGAGTATGGACTGTTGCTGGCCCTAATGAACCCAGACTGCCACATCTCAGACACCAACTTCTCAATTTCATTTTTTGTAAGTAGGGGTATATGTAGGGACGAACGTTCACAGGATTCGTGCCCTCCTTTAATGGAATCCTGTGATCCACTGCACGTTTGGATGGTAATGTTGTTGGAATAGAAAAAACAGACGCAAACTCCTTCAATAATGTGCTCAACTGAGCAGATTGTGCCACAGAAATATTGCCCTGAGAAGGCACCTGATTCTCTTCTATCATAGCGAAATAACATACCACAACAGCCTCCATATCTACAGTTTTAATAAGAGACGCGGCAGACACTAGTGAATGGGAGAGGGAAGGATCCCCTTGCAAGAACACTGTACGTCCTTCATGATAAAAAGACATCAGCAACGTACGCCAGTTGATTCGCACCTCCCCCAATGTTTCCAACCAAGCCACCCCTAATATTAAGTCAACACCCCCAAGATCAAAAATGTAAAAATCCCCAATCACCTGATAATCCTCCAATTCGATATTCAGAAGAGGACAAACCCCTTGTGACTTTTTTTGTTGACCATCACCCAACGAACCCCGAATGAAGGAGTTCCGGACGTCATTAACCCCAGCTTATTCACCAACTTCTGACTCACAAAGTTGTGGCTTGCGCCACTATCAATCAGAACCAAAACCGTTTCACCATCTATTTTACCTCGTAGCTTCATCGTTTTGGGTTGGGTTAACCCCCTCGCAGAGACTAGAGAAAGTTCTAACCATTGGAGATCTGAACCAGTTCCATATTTTCCACGTCGTGTATCAACATAGCTGCCTCTTTATCAACATCTTCCCCCTCTGATTCGCCCTCCCCGAGAATGGTAAGACGAATAGATTTGGCCGGACATCTGTGACCAGCCACAAAGGGAAGACCGCAATGGAAACAGCAGTTTTCCTCACGCCGTCGTATATACTCGTCGTAAGGAAGCTGACGGTTGCCACGATATTTCGAAGCATTTAGGTTTCTAGTAGGATGGGGTTGAGTGCCACTCTTTGTAGCTGATGTCTGTGACTGAGCGTAATTGGAATTTTGGGAATATGCGTTGGATTCATTTTGGACATTGGGTCGTGGCCAAGCAAAGAATTCGCTCCTATAGTTGGGTTAAAAAAATAACCATTTGTATTCGAGCCCACCCGTGTAGAAATGGACCCAGTTTTGGCCCATTTAGCATTTCCTCCGAATACTCTAGAAGCTGCCCCACCGTTCACCGTCGTCCAAGTTCCCCCATCTTCACAGTCCCGTGCCAAATCCATCGCGTGCATCACTTCTTGAGGAATATGGGGTCGAATCCGACCACGAATCTCTGTTTTTAGACCCGCCAAAAAATACCCTAAAAGTTGTTCATCGCCAAGTTCCTCCGCTTGTGCAACGAGAACTTCAAATTCTTGAATGTAAACTTCCACCGAATTTTCTTGCCGGAGATTAGCCAAACGTTCATAAATGTTTCCCAGGGTACGATCCCCATAACGCTGAATGAGAGCCTTAGTTAACTCCCTCCAATCCAAATTGGGTCGTTTCTTTTTTAAGAATCGAAACCAATGTATGGTATTCCCCTCCATACTAAAAAACGCTAGTTATACCTTCTCAATCAGAGCTATTCCTTGTAACTCGAAAAAAATTTCCGCCCGCGAAATCCACCCAAGTGGGTCGGGTCGATGCCTTCGAAACTAGGGAGTTCCACCTTAGACGTCCAATTGGTTACATCCGTAGATCCAGCACTAGTTGTGTCATCACTGATGGTAGGAGAATTTGAAGCGTGTCTGTTCTTCTTCAACGCCATGTCCTTGAGAATTGAACGAATATCCTCCACGCTTTGTTGGGTATCGCTGGTTTGTTTGCGCAACGCTTCCATGGAACGTTCTAGAGTTTCGACCCTCGCCTCCATTATTGTTATTTACCCTGTGTCAGATCTGGCAGGTCGGACCACTGTTACGGCAAAGGTATCAAATATTGATAACACCAGTAGACACAAGAAAGGGAAATAAAGAAGAACAATAAAGAAAGAGAAAGAGAGACAATTTTATTGAATCAAGTAAAATGGTTACAAGAGACTTGCTCTTCTCAAGGGAAAGGTTCCCTTCAATTCTGAGAAGAAACTCAGAGGATACAAGACAATTCCCAAAAAGTGCCACAACAATTACTAATACTCTTATTTATACAAAATCCTCTCTCCCATTCCTCTTCCCACCGTAACTAACTTCTCAACCGTTTTGTACCTCTTCTCTACTTATTCTTGGTTTATTCCTACGGGTATAAAACCTCCACGTAGCAGGTTGGTACCTTGGTGATGTATCAACCGTAACACTATTACAGGAGTTGCAATCCAAACCGAAGTCGTTTTGGGATTTGGGGGAAAAAGTACTAAGTATCTTAGGATTAATGCTTCTCTCTTATAACATGATTTTTCCGAAAATGCCCTGCATTTTTCTTCACCAACCCCAAATTGATGTCTAGGTTGCAGGAGGAAACTTTATACTATGATAGGAGAAACACTATGCACCTTTTATATTATATTTCTAACAAATGTTATTACAAGTTTGACTACAGCTGTCCCTATTCTTAATTAAAATTGAATTTTTTCGAACAAAATGATGGCATAGAGGATTAAGTCCCTCATCCTTATCCCACTCCCAATGGATTAAATAAAATGAATTTTAGTACACAATTATAGTGACTTGTGTTTTTCATATGCTTTTAAGCCGAAAGGAATTTTGTGAGGCGATGTGATATGGATTAAAACTATTGTTAAACCAACAATTAAGCTTTAGGGATAGTTAGTCCTTGACAAGTAATATCAGCTACATCATGAACCACTACTGAAGTTTCAATAAAAGTTAGACAGCCTTAGATATTGAAATGAAATGGATACAACCGATGAACAAGGCAGAATAAAATTACCATTCATAGAGAACAGAGAAATGAAAGCCAACCACAGCATAGTTATTGTTTGATGCAGAATAGGGCCCTTAAGTTCAGGGCGGTGGTTTCTTTCGATCATCCATACAACAAAGCCATTGTAGACAATGATGACCAATATAAGAATCCACATGAGCTTTGTGAAAGGCTTCATGAATAACCACGCTCTGTTGCCTACTTTTGATTGAAGAGGCACAATCATCACCACTCCTGGATCAGTATAGGGCTGAGTGAATGCAGCATATTCATAACGCGTGGACACTATTGCAACATCACCAACAACTGCATCATATTTCTGCATCATGCAAAGACCAGTCCAGATCAAATTGATTCGCCTTTTATATATATATATATATATATATATATATATGGCAAAAGTATTTCTACAGCAACTTTAGATAAGCTTATCTACAGCTGCCATTTTTAACTATATTCTCTCGGGAGAATATAGTTATAACGTTAAAGTTGCTCTTTTTTCTCTCTCCTCATTTACTTTTCAGAACTTTTTTGCTGACGTGGAGAGAGAGAAAAGAGCAACTTTAACGTTATAACTATATTCTCCCGGGAGAACATAGTTAAAAATGGCAGCTGTAGATAAGCTTGTCTAAAGTTGCTGTAAAAATGTTTACCCCTATATATATATATATATATATATTGTTTGTTTGTTCAAAAGTAAGGTATATTTAGTGACATGAATCATGATAGTGACATTTTTTGGAGCTGCTAAGAGTCCAAGGTTCATAACATGAGGTCTTTCAATGACTTACATGTTGGACCGAGCTTGTCACTATGCCAAAAGCTATAGCTATTTGTAAGGGTGTAACTCTTTATACTTACCCTTACCAGCCCAAACACTATGGTTCAATCCGATTGAGACCCATACCAGGTCTTGCCAAGGGATGTGGGCTTTACCAACAACATTAGGGTATGACTAATGAAAAAAGTTTTTGAGTGCTACCATATACAGTCTATTAGACTGATAAGGACTTCCTTCCAAACACAATTAAAAGAACAAGAACAGGGTTTCAATGAATGGAATTGTCTTTCTGATAAAACTCCAAACAGTACAATTGGTTACAGCAGTGCTACAATATAGGGAAAATAGCTTGGTACAATGAGTTGATACAGAGATATGTGGAGGAAAGATTACAAGGACACAGAGACTCTTACAGTGAAATATTGAAATATTGAAATTAGTTATCAGAGAAATTAGGTCACTTGAAGTTATTTTGCATCTCAGGTTGTATATCGGTAGTATATTATCAATGATTTGCAATAATGAAGTGAGCTACAGAATACAAAAGTAATGAAACACTTACCTTAAGATAAATTTCCTTCACCAAATCATCATATGTCCCATTGAAGGCAAAGAAATCATATTCCAGATGGTATGGCAATGTTTTTACTGTTTCTTTGAAAAGATCTATAGCAAATCCCTCGAAGGAGGTAGTATTTTCTGAATGATCTTGAATAACATTGACATACTGTTTGAATGTTGATGTAGAAGGGACACCAATTCTCAGTCGTTTAGCACATGTTGGATTAATCACTTTTCCTAATTCCTTAACCAAAGAACTGTAAGAAGCATTTTGGCCAAAAGTTTTTGAGAAACCAAATCCATCTGACCAGAACCCAATTTCCCTGTAGCTCTTCCCAATCACATTAATGATCTGAAAAGTACTTGCTGGATCAATTTTATGGTCAGTGAACTGAATTTTTCCACTTAAGCCAGTAAAATTACTAAGCAAAATCTTATCTAGCAAAAGTTGACCCCCTTTTTGGTTGGTTTCCTTCATTGCTTGAGCCACAGTCCAGGTAGCATCATAGGCCAGGGCTGCAAAGATCCCAGGCTCATAATTAAACTCATAAAAATTCTCTGAGATAAATTTTTTACGAAATCTATGGTAAAAGTTCTTATTTTGGTGCCATAGATTTGGTATGTAGCTCTTGACTCCAATAATCCCTTGCATATTGGAGATAGTGGAGGCATTCAAAGAATAAACAAGACTTGTAATGGTATCAGTAGTAATCCATACATTACTTTCCCCCATCATATTCATTTTCTTTGCAGTTTCAAACATGTAAAGTGCCAAAGGAAAGGATAAATGGACAATAAAGACTTTACATTTCCCTTCTCTTAGCTTCTCAAGTTTTTGGGACAACGAAGAGGAAACTAAAGGTGGAAAGGCTATAACATTGCTTAATTCTACGTTGACTTCTTTGAGAGCTTCAGAGAGCAGAGATAAAACTTCTGTGGATGATGAATCTCCATCTTCTAAAATTATGCTAACCTCATACTGTTCCCAAGTCTTAACAATTGCAGCTATAGCTTTCATCTGCATAATTTGGTTAGGTGAGGATTGCAGCAGGAAGTTCCACTTCTCCATTGCCCATTCTGGAGATGCATCTGCTAGAGAAAGGAGGGGTATGCTCTTTTGGTTGCAGACTTCAGCCACTAAAGATGTCTCTTCCCATGTTTGTGGTCCAATGATGGCTTGCACCTTTTGCTTATCAACAAGATCTCTAGCTGCCAAATAATACATTACATTACAAGAAGAAAATAAAAGGGTCAAATCATGTCTGTACATGATTTGAAAAAGTTCCAGTTCTCGAGGAAATGAATCAATAAATAAGACAACCTTTGTAGAATATATATATATATATATTGCCACTTTATTTCTCAATTCAAGCACATGAAATTTAAACTGTTAATTGGCCATAGGTCAGGCACTAAAATCACTCCTCATTAAACCCCGACTAGCGAAGATAAGGGTGAAAGCATCCTTGTACACAGTTTTACCCTTAGATATTTACAAAGAGACTATTTTCTGGATTTGAACCCGTGACCTTTTAGTCACAAAGGTTGTAGCTGATGTTATGAAGTTCTGGCACTAAACCAAAAATAAATAAAATAATGTGTAAATCATGAAGTTCTGATGTTATATTTTATTTCTTAAGATGTTGCTGAATGATCCACCTTCCAAAGGTAATCTCATCTGTTTACACTATTTTGAAATTCATTGTATGGTTAAGAGACATCTGGGACTATGTACTGATAAAATTATCAAAAGCAGTGGGAGAGAAAAAGAATGAGAGAAAGACCTGCAAGAGCTGCCAGAAGAGGATCCCCTTGAGAGTTCCTTATATGCAGAACAAAACTCTGATTGCTGTAATGATAAAAATCCTCTAATGTCATATTCATAGCCACTGCTTGCTCTTGACCAATGCGAGTGCTCCTATCTAAAATAGCTCCTATTATGCCCTTAACATTAGAACTCTCATCAGCTGCTGTATTCCCTAGTAAAATAATATATATGTTGATACAGCCAAACAGAAAAGCATACCTATGGCTTTTTTCCATAATAGAATATTGCTGTTCTAGATCCTCATCCCATTATATAAATACTAGGATGCTAAAAGAACATATTTCAAATCAACAACGTTTCTTTTCTCTTTGGGTTGAAGCCAATCTTAATAATACTTTATTATACTTGACCATATAGGTTATTAGGAGGAATATTTCTATTAGTTTTAATGGGTCAAACACCAAGATTCTGGCAAAAAGTTTCCAAGTAATTTCAAAAATATTTGGAAGCAATAATATATTAGTTTTCTGCAATTCAAACATGCTTATTTTTTTGGGCATGTTAAGTGTTTATTAAGAACAAGAGTGCAGAGCAAAACCTTCACTATCAGGACAAAAACAAATCCCAATATCACGTCTCAATTCAAAACTTCAAAACAACAACAAATATTTACACTTATATTATACTCACTTGGTTCATTTATAACCGATATAGAGCATCATCACTACTCACGTTTCAATATTTCCAACAATGGAATTATTCATTTGTTGCGACAAAATATGTAAATAAATAAAGGATTTAGTGTATCATCGATCAACGGAGATAATTTATTTCTAATGAGTCCAAAATGACATTATTTTAAGTTGAAAAAATGATATTTTTATAATTCTAATTTATTCCAAGGTTATATTAGTCTTTATTATTTTAAATTTTAAATTTTTCAATTCTAAAAAGATATCATTTTAAGTTCACTAAAAATAACTTTATCTTTAGTAAGCGTAATAATGCTTTTCCCATAAATAAATAACCCAATCTGGAAAAACTAGTTATATAAAATTAGATTTTCTGACGTGGGATGTCGTATAAAGTGCAAAATTTCATGGCAAGATACATGCATGTGCAGTGCTGCCCCTAACATTGTACTATTGTGGAAAGATTCTAGGAATCATTGAATTTCAAGTTATGATTTTTTTCTAAGGAAGGGAATATTTTCACTCCCAAAAATTTTCACTACTAACTTACTACCTATCTAATTACCATTATATTAATATTTTCTCTCTCTTCAAACACTTTTTAATATTCTCTCTTTGATCCAATGGTAATATGATGAGTAATAAGTTAATAGTGAGAATTTTTAGTAGTCCTCACTCCTTTTTAATATTCCCTTCTTTTATTTTCCTAGACTGGTCGGTCGTGAGGTAGAGCTCAACAATAATCTGACACTGATTCAATGTGGAAATTTCAAGGAAGGAGACTTACATTAAGGACACTGGGAGATGATGAAGACTTGGGTTTTCATTGACCATCAAATTATTTTACCTGTAAAAGGGAAAGAAGGGTATGCGGTAAAATACAAGAACCTGGGACTTGAATCTTACAAGCTAAACTATTCAAAGCTCTACACATCGTCTTGCTTACGCTTTAGTACAGCATTCAAGTTGTAGAATGATGGGTCCATTTATATTAATTAAGAGAATTCTTCTGACCTAAAGCAATGGGTCAAATGTTTTGGTGTAGCCTAAAGACGGCTGGCTACATGATGCCTTGTCCTAATGTGGAGCGAGGTGTTTTATATTAGTAATTATTTTTTGTAATGACTAAGGTCGAAACCCTAAATCTTCTATTCGTGTTAGCCGTGATTTCAATTTCATTCTTACTTCTCAGGCCTTTTAATATGTAATTTTGGAGTTTATTAGCTTGGTACATACCCAATGCATTGTTTATCTTTCAAATCCCATAAATTTTTGTGTGTAAGAGAGTATATTAAGAAAATATAATATAAAATTATTAATATTAATATAGATAATCTAATAACTTAAATTTTTGAGTTGAATTGGTTATTTATATGATAGTGAAGTTAATGATTTTTCGTAAATGTGTGTGTTATGGACCTGGGTAAGGCCCGTATTTTGGAGGGCCTAGACAAACTCGGTCCAAAGGTAAACCCTATAAATAAAAGCTAAAGATCACATGTATGACTAATCTCTCTTTAACCTATTTCGTATAATCACACGGCACACACACCACCCCCCTCCTGGCTAAGGCCGTTATATCGTGTGTTGTGATTCGCTACCCCCAATATACCCAGCCCATAGGTATCTAGAGAGAGTACCAAATCCTAGATTAACTAGCTAGCATTTGCTTAGACATCTCTACCACTCAGTCATAACATTGGCGCCGTTTGTGGGGACTTACCCACGATCACGATATTTGAAAAGCTAGTGATTAAAATTGTGCGTACAACCACAGTGGTTGGATTTTGTGCTTTTGGCATTGTGTGAATATGTATGTTCATGCATTATTGCTTGATTGTGTGACATGCTTGGAGCATGTTGTGTGTGAATTGTTTGATCTCTGGCCAGTAGATGTGTGTTGGTTTGGACTTCCGCTGGAGATATCCTTTGGGGATTCCGGTTGGGTTTTGTCGTGGGGCCGACTCTAGGAGCGGCACCAGGATGATCCAAACGTGGGACTTCCGCTGGATAGAGCTCATGAGGAGTTCCAGTTGGGTTTTGCTATGGGGTCGTCTCATCCATGGGAGAGGCACCAGGAAGGTTCCCGAGAGTTATATGATGGAGTCCTGACCGGCCCATATGTCTAAAATACAAAATAAAATAAATAAAATAAAATAAAACTTCAGCAAAACGTGCCCGACTTGGCGCAAGAAATCGACTAGCTTCCAATCCGAATTGGGCTTCGAGCTCTTCATAAGAATTGTAGCCCTTTGTGTTATCTGAAAAACCCAATAAGAACGGAGTCAACCCGGAAACTGTGAACCAAGATATGGCCAAAATACAGAAGTAACGTAAAGCTGAAAAATTCTGACGAAAATAATTAAACCCAATCAAAAACTAAAAATGTAAATTAACTCAAAACATCATTATTTTATTCAAATAAATCCTAAAAATACTAATCAAGAGTAACAAATAAGTGTAATAAAATATGAGTTATCAGCGAACTCTAGAACTTTCGTCACTAAATCCTTTTTTTTGTAACACTCATCACATGGTCTTACTTTGTTATACAATTAAGTTTTCTAAACATCTTAGTCCACATTAAATACCATTTCGGTATCATAACAATTCCTCGGTGCAATTTCACCGAATTAATCATATAGTTTTACGCTCATGGTAATTTCATTCTCAGTGGGAATAATTCCCATTCACGGCCTTTAGCCCCATGTTATACATACATGTATTTCTACCCATGTTTTTAATATAGGAACGTGTAATTCCTTTCTGTACCCAATACATAACAGGCACATTTTCTGTACCTTAATATCGCATCTTACTTTATAGTTTTACTAACTTCCACCAAACACATTGGCGAATCAATTTCCCAACACATTTCACTGTTATCTAATGGACCGCATATTACAGTTTATATATCATATTGGCCATTTCAAAGCCTTCAACCACGAATCCACTCATGACTTTCTATCTACAAGGCCATACTTACTATTTAACTTAGCCATCTCAAGGCTTAACATACAATTCATCATTGATTTTCACATTAAAGGCACAATGCCTACGATTTCCATCAACAACTATGTTTACATATCGTTCCATAGCCATGCTATCAATTCCACTTATATTTCATTCCTGTATACCTCAATTTCATAATCATCATATTTAACCATTTATGTACCGTTCAATTATATCATAACCTATCTCTTGCAATTAAGTCCCATCATATAGGGATTTTCAACATTTACTTATCCTGTCATAATGAACTAAATCCATCACTGCCATTACTTCTGTAATTCAACATCGGTTAGTATACAAGTCTCTCGGAATATTCAAAGTACCACAAGCACACAACCATATATCTTGTTACCCAGTCAAGAACAACATCAACTCTGTGCATTTTCAACACATATTCCACCATAAATTGCATATACAAGGTACAATACTCCATAAGTCACTCCACCAGTAAATCAAAACTATCCGCCTTTTATTTAACCAAACCCAATTCTATTTACCAGCTATTATCACACATTCGTACTTGACTCCATCACAATTAACCTTTCATGAAAGGCCATCAGGCTACCGTCTTAACCTAGCATCTCATCATCACAGCCTTCCTAGAAGACATCTCCTCAATCCTGTCAACATTAAATCAAGTTATTTTCTCTTTTAACATAAGGCGAGAATCCCAACAACTTACAACATCACTTGGAGCCGAAAATTATATCATCATACTTAAGTTACACACATAACAGTGTGCTTCAATATCACACTTCAAAACTCTCACACATTATGCCTCACATCCTATATCCAAATTTGACATATTATTGTCTACTTACAAGTATATGACCTCACATCTTACATTATTCACATGGCAAAACTCTCCCAATGCAGTGGGTAAAAACATCCTCAGGTTAAACCCCTCGAGCTCTTGCTGTCCTAAGGGCCCCAGATCTAAAGACCCACCGATCAGAGAATCAACCCATATGATCCATGCAGTAATAGGTAACACACCACCAGCTGCTCCTGTGATAAGAGCATCCCCAAATTTCTCATTTGTGCATTTACATAAGGCACCTCACCTGTACTGGCAGTCACACCGATGCAGGGTACTTCCTTGTATCACATTCCTCATACAAAATAACAATAGTCTCCGGGAACATAATCCGCGCAGAGCTAACAAGGGTCTCCGGGAATATAATCCGCACAGAGATAGCCATACACTCAGGGCATATAAGTCGCACAAAGGTAGCAATATTCTCCAGGCACGTAAGTCACACAAAGGTAACAATATTCATGTTGTATCCGTATACAACGGCAAAATGTGTTTTGTATAAACACATGAGGCTATCCACATTACAGGAATAATGGTATAATAATTATATCACACATATGCATAATTCACTATGATTTCCTGGTTATGTTCCTTCCCACGAATGGTCTACTCATTTAACTTTACTAGTCATCAGACCTAGTCCATAACATAATCCTCATTACATGATTCCGGCATCTTTCTCATAATTCAGCACCTATTTTCCAACTCTTAAAAATTCCTGTATCTTATTACAGTTCTAATCCATTGTCTATTATGGCTCACAAAACTATGCTCACACTGTAGAGCAACTCATCAATCTTCTTAATCACCCCTCCTCTTTGTGACTGTAAAATATCTACTTCATTGGAAATACCATCACTTTTCTCTGCATACTTCACTATGGCATGAGGAGTGCCATCATTCACTAGTCCACGCAGTCAGAGCACAAGGATCGCCAGATGAGTCTCAACTTCGAGCGGTGCACGCCTGGGACTTCCAAGAGCAACACCTCTTCGGATCCAATCCACAAGGGAAGCCCAGGACAATCTTATTTGTCACATTATTTCCAACATGTATGTCATTGTGTAACTTGTACACCGGGACTCCATAATGAATCTCTTACCAGATTGAGCGTCCAATGACACTCCCAAGAGACAATCTCTTCAGATACTTTCCATCATAGGGGATTTCATTCAACATAATTATCCTTTTACCAAAGAATTTAATAATTTATTACAGCACATAAATATATAGGCACTCAGGCCTTCACAAAGTGTATATATATACTGGCACTTAGGCCATCACAGGAGTATCATCCATCTATTCATCAGAGTAATTAGACAGGCTATCCGGCCATTATGTATTATTCACTACCCATTACAAACATCCTTTAGCAATTATGCCATTTCAAAATACAATAACCACCCCTTGGAATTTCCAAGAAACATCTATTATGGGTCAATTCTCTCATGCATTATACCACCTGAACCTCTATCAAGGAGTCATTCCCAAGTAAAATCTTATACATCAAAGCACACATATAATCAGGCCACATCATAAACAAATCACAACTACTCGACATTCTAAAAGCATACTAATACCATTAGTACACAACATTTAGTCATACTTTCTCATATCACATTTGTTTCCCTTATGACACATTCGTTAAGTCAAACCATCATCTCATTATGGACCATCATACTCTCAATAAACTTTGTCTAATGCCATCCATGGCAATTTTTCTCAACTTCTTACATGGTACTCTCTATACATTATGATGAAGTTAGGAGGGAGACAAGTTTTGGACAAAAACTTGCATGTAGAACAATGGGGGAGGGCTGTGCGCACGGGAAGAAGAGGGAGGGAAGGAGAGAGAATGTGAGGAAAAAGTGAGTTTGACTCACTTAAGTCATAGGCGGGTCCCACACGCATTTTAACTTTAATCAATCACCTAATTTCAACCACAATTTCATAACCTACGTATTTTTCTGGTTCATGACATATTTTGTTTCCTAAAAATACTGATAAAAATTTCACGCTTATCGGTACAATTATACCGCAGTATTTTACACCGGAAAAATCACTATTCATCAATTTTCCCAAATTTGTCTATTCACTCTATTTTTCGTCCTGAGTCCGTTTCCGGCATTATTTTTGTCATTTGAGGTCTTCTACTTAATTTTTCATGCCTCGGGTTACATGTTTGGTAAATTACCATTTTGCCCTTTTTATACAGTTTGGCCTTAATTTTCGAACTTTCACTAATCCTACCCTTTTAATTCACATTATAACATATAATTTCATATTTAGAATTACAAGGTGTTATATCAGGCACCCCATAAAGCCTCACAATCTCCTTCACATAGAGCCTAGCCAATTTCTCAACAGATAAATATACCTGTACTGGCAAAATGTGTGCGGACTTTGTCAATCTATCCACAATTACCCGTATAAAATCATAACTAGCTTGTGTTCGCGGCAAACCCACTACGAAATCCATGCAGATACTCTCTTATTTCCATTCAGGAATATCTAGAGGTTGCAACATACCAGAAAGCTTTTGATGTTCAATCTTGACCTTCTGACATACGAGACACATAGAGACGAATTCGGCAATATCTTTCTTCATACCAGGCCACCAGAAATTAATCTTTAGGTCCTGATACATCTTTGTAGCTCCGGGATGGATAGTGAATTGACCCTTGTGGGCCTCAGTCATCACTTCCTCCGCCAACTGCCTAGGCACAACAATACGACCCTGATATAATAGTATACCCTGCTCATTCCACGTACACCGCTCTGACCATTCAGTTGTTTAACATTTTCATTCTGTAGTTGAGCTTCCTGAATTCTGGTCAACATTTCATTTTCAATTCTTGTAAGTTCGATTTCATAAATTCTACCTGGAAAGACTTCAGATAGTTTCATATCTCTGAACCTCTCAATCACATCATAATCTCTCATCATCATGCTCTAGCTACGCTAACAGATTTCTGGCTCAATGCGTCAGCTACAACATTAGCCTTGCTGGGATGATACTTCAATTCAAAGTCGTAGTCCTTTAGGAACTCAGTCTACCATCGTTGTCTCAAATTCAATTCTTTTTTTATCAAACAAGTACTTTAAACTCTTGTTATCGCTAAACACGGCAAACATCATTCCATACAAGAAATGCCTCCACTGTTTCAACCCAAAAACGATCACAGCAAGCTCCAAGTCATAGGTCGAATAGTTTTCTTCGTGCGGGTTTTAGCTGCCTCAATGCATATGCCACTACTCTTTTATCTTGCATCAAGAAACATCACAATCCCTTCTTCGAAGCATCGATGTATAATTCAAATCCACCTTCCGGATCAGGAAATACTAACACTGGAGCAGTCGTTAATTTCTCCTTAAGATTATGGAAACATTCCTCGTATTCATGCGTCCAAACAAATGGAGCATCCTTTCGAGTCAAACGGGTAAATGGCAAAACCATTGTAGAAAACCTATTGGTAAATCTCCAGTAATAACCGGCCAATCCCAGAAAACTCCTTACTTCAGTTACGGTCTTGGATCTCTCCCAATTAATATTCGGCTCTATCTTGCTAGGATCAACTGCCACTCCGTCAGCGAAAATAACGTGACCCAAGAATTGCACTTCAAAAAGCCAAAATTTGCATTTTGAAGGCTTTGCATACAACTATTTCTCTCTGAGAATTTGCAACATAGTTCTCAAGTGATGCGCATGCTTTTCCTTACTCTTGGAATATATCAGAATATCATCAATAAACACAATCACGAATTGATCTAGAAATGGCTTAAAAATGTGATTCATATAACCCATAAACACCGCCGGAGCATTAGTGAGTCGAAATGGAATTACCTGGTACACATAATGTCCATATCTAGATCGAAAAGCAGTTTTCGGAATATCTTCCTGCTTAATTCGGATCTAATGATAACCCGACCTCAAATCAATCTTTGAAAAGACACAAGCATCCCTCAACTGATCAAGCAACTCATCTATGCGGGGGAGAGGATACTTGTAGTTAACAATAACTTTATTCAACTAACGGTAATTGGTGCACAATCTCATATTGTCGTCCTTCTTCTTAACAAATATAACTGGTGCTCCCTACGGGAACACACTTGCCTTGATAAACTGGTTAGCCGAAAGCTCCTCAATATGCTTCTTTAACTCAGCTAATTCTGATGGTGACATTTGATATGCAGCCAAAGAAATAGGCCCCATATCAGGAAACAAGTCAATCGTAAACTCAATCTCTCTCAAAGTGGAAGTTGTGGAATCTCATCTGGAAATACCTCCACAAACTCCTTCACCACGGGAATAATGTCGATCTCCTCATGACTTCCACTCACTAAACCCCCCACAAAGACATATCCAAATGCCCTGGCCCTCAAAGCTTGTCTAACCTGTAACACACATAGATATGGGGAAGAACTAGTAGCAGAATCACCAGCATAAAGCACAATTCTTTGATAACCAATTCATTTCCAAGATAACTTAAAGACTGATCATAGGCAGAAAAATAAAATTCAGCACGTAGTCTCGACTTTCATATTTAAATGCCACATCCTTACATAAGACCGACGTAGAACACTTCTCTCCGTAGCAGTCACTACTTTCATTGGAGGAGAAATTGTATACATAGGCAAATCCAATCCAAACACCATAAAATCAGACATTCAGGAGTGTGTATCTCTTGTGTCAAACAAAACCTCAATATCAAAATTATCTATGTAAATTATACCTTTCACAAGGTTTGGAGCCTTCTCTGATTGTTGACGATCCATGGTATATATTCTACCAGCAGTCTGGGACTCAACAATAGGTGGAACAACCGAAGTAGGGATGGCAACAACCTGAACTGTCATTGTCCTCACTTCATTTTGAGGGCACTTCCTAGAGTAATGGTCGGATCTTCCACACTTATAGCAAATAACCTCACATGAGGAACACTGATCTCGGTGCTCTTTTCTACATCCGCTGCACTTGGGAGGAGGTCCTCTATCAACAAAGTTTCTTTGGTTCCCGGGCTTCTTGAACATATCCAACAGATTGTTCATGCTCAACTTCTTGCCCTTCATCTTTTTATTCGTCAATGAATTAGAGCTAGTTGTTCTATTAGCCTCAGATGCCTTAACTTCAGAAGATTTCTTACTCTTCGGGACACTATAAACCTCTTCCACCTTCTCGCATTGGTTCACAAACTTGCTGAACTCAGGGATATCGCAATTAAACATCTTTTGAGACATTTTTTTATTTAGACCCATTGAAACTTGGAGGTCATCTCGGTTGAAGTAGGTAGGGCTCTCCCGTAATTAGCATATTTCACAAATTCATTAAACTTGGCAAAATATTGATCAATGGTCATCGACCCTTGCTTCAAATCATTGTACTCGTTCTGTTTCCTCTCCCTAGCCTCCCTAGGGAAGTAGTTATTCAAGAACAAAGTCTCAAACAATTGTCAGGTGATTTCCTAGCCTTTAGCCTCCAAAGGTTGCACGGTGTTCATCCACCAATCCTCGGCCTCGCCTTCAAGCATGTACATTGAGTAAACCAACTTCAGTGAATAAGGGCATCTCATCATCGTAAAACTTTTCTCCATAGCTTGGAGCCATTTTGCCGTAACCAACGGATCATAGCCTCCAGTGAAGGATAGAGGTTTGTGTTTTTGAAAGGCAGTCAATCGCCTTTCATCCGCATCTGGCCGACTAATATATTCCACACATGGTTGATGAACCGCAGTATGATGACTAGAACCATCATTATGTTAACCGCATCTGGCCCCTTCTTCATTGTTACCCGCTCCACCTTCTTCATGGAGAGTGAGTGGAGTAGGCGTGGCAGTGTGAGCAGGAGGAATCAGTGGTCTGTTCTCATTCCTAGCACCCTTCATTGTCCTCAACTCATTCACCATCGTGGTCATAGCATTCCACGCATCTTCATTAGTCTTCATTAATGTTTCACTAGCCTGGCAACTAACAGTCAACTCCCTTTGCACGGCTGCCGTAGTGACCGCCACAGGATCAAATTGTCCACCTATTGCCCTACGACCACTTTGCGGTCTAACTAAAGCAGTCAAAATAGGATCTGGCAGAGCATTAGCATTCGATGCCTCAGGGTTGTTCTAGGACCTCATCATGACACTACACATGTTACACAAAGAAATGGATTGATCAAGCTCACACTCAGTGATCACATATGCAATAATCATAAAGAGTACCGAAAACAACTGCAAAGCGTTAAACACCAAGCAAACATAACAATAATCCACAAGTTTTCCTAAGAAACTGCTCTGATGCTATAAAATGTAACACCTCATTCTAGAACCAATTTGTTAACATTACGTATGGCATTAAGCGCAGTTACAATCACAGCAACGGAATTATAATACGGATAAACTTTTTCCCTTTTTCGTTAATAAATGTTTCTGTTTAAAATCAATTCCGTAATTAAAATATATTCAAAAACTGTAATCATAACTTCAACTATGAACGGAACACTTAATGTAATTTTATTTAGACCATAACTTATCAAATACCTATTGTGTAAAGTGTGAAAAAATTAAAGGGCTCATCTAATCAATCTCATGTAGCAATAGACGAGATCTCTCGTGTTGCTAACGCATGCGGTGCGGTCCACCATTTAAAAAAAAAAGTATCACGATTTTATATATGTCTATTGAAAATATAAACACTCTCATGTTGTAGTTTTTCTCAAAATTAAATGGACCGAATCAAAGAACTGCACTATATTTTTTCAAATCGAACCAAATTTTAAAATCAATTCGATTAGCCTATGGCAATCCCTTTGCATACATTGTGCGAATAGGTATTATCCGTTCAATCGCAAAAACCTTAAAAATGAAAGAAATCGAAGTAAGCAGAACCGTTTGCACAGTCCAATATACCCTTAAAGCAGTAACCTTTTTTTTGTACCCTTCATTCACTCAAACTTAGAAACAGTAGCTTGTGCCCCTGCTTTTGTAAAACACAGACGCAGTATGTTTTGTATTTGTTATCAATTAAAATTGCAAAAGTCGGGCTAGTTATTATTGGAATTCTTATAGAATTCAAATGTTATGAATAAGAAGTTGAGTGTGAAGAGACGTGTCTGTTCATTTTTGAATAGATATAACTATTCACAGCCAAACAGGCACGACTCTTCGTTTCCAATAGGCACTATTCATCTTGACCAGTCATGGTTTATAAATTTGAAAGGAAATCAGAAAAAAAATAGTGGATTTTTTTTTTATTTCTCTCTTATACAGAAACTCTGTCAAAATGGTTTTTGAAATCTTTTTGCATTCATTCTCTGCGATAGTTCAAACGAAGGTTGCGTCTGCCGGTGTTGTTTGTTCGTAAGTGTCATCGATAATCCGTTTTATCTTGGGAGACAATTGTCCACGAATCTTGGGCACAATAAAGAGGAAAAAATTATCTTAAGGACACAATGTCTAACACTGGGTTCAGACTTTTTCTTGTTGCATTCATATATTTTCGTACTATACGCTTTAACTTTAAGTTATTGCATGTTTTAATTTCTTGTTGGTATTTCATGAAACTGTGAATATTGTTGAAGTGATTTCTCTAACACAAATTGTCTCCTCTCAAAGATTTCCACATCATTTTTCTAATAGTTATGCCATTTTTGCTTTGTGTTTAAGGTGTTTACTTAGGAAGTATGGTCGAATTTAGATGAAGGTAAGTTTAATCTGTATGGTTTGTGATGGTTTCTGGTTTGTACTTTAAAAATTGGGAAAAACTACTCTTATGCTACATGTGATAAATTTCTCTCCTACACACCCTTCAATAATTGTGCCACATTTTTCTTTTCTTTTCTTTTTATTTTTCAGGTGGTGGAGCCCACAAGTTTATCTCTATGATATGAGATAACTTATCTCCTTTATCATGAGATTAATAAAACCCTTAAAAATTCAATGTAAGAATAGGTTATTCCTTTTGAGATATATAAAACCATTAATGTAGCCTCATCGAACAGCTTAAGCTTTTGAGTTGAATTGGTTCTTTACATGGTATCAGAGCCTCATGTCCCGAGTTCGATTCTCACTTCGATTCTCACCGCCCCCCACTTTCTTTCTAGTGGAATTTCTTTATTCGCACAGGTAGGTGGGTCGTGCATTATCCACTCTTCAAGCCCAGTGGGCTCTCGTGTGAGGGGGCGTGTTGAGATATATAAAACCATTAATGTAGCCTCATACAGTTTAAGCTTTTGGATTGAATTGGTTCTTTACAATTCCCATACCAGTGACATGTCTGAGAATAGATTATTCACTAGGTGAATCCAGTGCTAGTGTTCATTCTAGGGCCACAGAGGTTCTCTATGAAAACTTACCTTTTAGCCTCTGGACACCAGGATTACTGAGAAATTCTCAGTTGCACCCTAAGTAAGAGAAATCTCCTATTTTGTACCATTTAATGTGTGTTATGTGAGCTTTATTGGCCATTATTATTTTTCACTTTAACTATATTTTTAATGTTATAACTAATGTAACACACATTTAATAGTACAAAACAATAGAACAGGAAACACCTAAGAACCTCTCAAAATCATGGAAGACTTGATCCCTTAGGAGTTTATTCCATAATTTGTTTGACATTGCTGATGAGCATGCTGACACGGTGACAATTAAGATGAACTGGTGGATTTCTATTATTGGAGCAATTGAAGTTTTGTTTAATGCACAAAATATAATGCAGGTATCAACAATCATTGACTAAGTGTTAAGGAGTTTGTTTACCTTAAGCACTGAATCAATGATTTTTCCTTGTCCTTCAATATTACTGTCTATACATGACACCATAATAATCCATGATATATTCTTCATTATGCTGGATTACACAATACTTGCTAATAATACAGAGTTTATTATTTCAACTTGCATCTCTAGCTCACAAATACTAAACATAATTCAAAAATTCTTTGAGAACATACAGCAAAACTAATGATATTAGGTACAAAAGGTATGCAGGTAAGGATGTCCAAAGAGGGAACCTGGAGCCAAAACGTGCAGCGAGGCCCATTACAATACATACAATTGCTACAACAAGCACATCAGCAGAGAATTCCCAAGTGATATCTCGCACATATATAAGAATGGAGATCACCACAAAGCAAAGAATATTGTTCATGAACACAGCTGTATAAATCTGCATTGACATAAATGTTGGTATAAATATTTAGTTTGATTAGTGAAGTGAAACTGGCACAGGAAGATAACTAACCTCATAAATTGTTTGACAAGTATTGCTTCTCTTCTTATGGCTGGCTTCTTTGATTGCTGAGGTTGCTTCTCTAAAATTTGTAGCCAGAGGGACTAAAATAAATGAGATGAAAAGTGATGAAATTCCTGCTTCTTCAGAGAATTTCTCGACACTGGCTATTAGGGGCTCTGCCAGAAGAGACAACATAGTAATTCCCAGCACCACATATCCTAAAGCGTTCAACCATGCATATACTCCTTTGCTCTGATTATCTTCCAACACCTTTTCAACGTCTTCCCAGGTCTAAAAGACAAGTGTTTGACCTATAAAAGTTGAAAACTGCAAATTGGTGATTTATTTGAGTAAAAGGAATAGTGCATTACTTGATGGTTTCCATGAGGCAGAGATAATGAGTGAGTAGCTTGACTGGAATTTGTGTTTATCAATTTTCTGAACCCGTCAACAAATTCCTTCTCACTAATTTCATTGTCTCTGTTAATGTCAAGTTCTTGAAACAATTTTGTAACTGCCACCTCTGCATTATCGACATGAATGCTGTTGACTAGTTTTTCTAACTCGGATCTAGAGACTTGGTTATCCCCATTGCTATCAATTTCATCAAATAACCTGTTGCATCAAAGCCACAGGTGCTATGAGAACAGGAAAAATTACTCTAAAGCATTTATGATAGAGTACTTAATTCCTTATTTTACAAACACCTTTTTTTTAGAAATTCAAGTTTTACTGGTCAAATCTCACTTTAGTTAGAAATAGACTAAGTAATGATCATATAAGTGAAAAAGATCCATACTCTCGTTGCCTTAAGGTTTTGGATAAAAATGTGATATGAAGTTCACTTATTATTGTTTATCACTTGGTCCAGTGATGTAAAAATTCCTTGCAAGGGCTTTTGGCTCGCCCGTACCATTTAATAAATCTTACTAAGTTTTTGAATATCTAAAATATTTAATTATGATACTTTGTTATTGCTAAATAGTTGAAGTCAGTGAACATCAAATTAGTTAAGGTATACTGTTTGGATTTAGATTTGACAAGCATTTCAACATGCTGACCTTCTGATAGCAGATTCATCAGGTGTGCCATCATCTTTACGAAGCCTGCCAACTGTATCACTCTGAGCATGCATTAAGACTTCAGATATAACATGTCCCCTCATTTCACGTTCTTTTCTTGTGTGTTCAATCCATGGCTTGATAAAAACCTATTCACAATAAAGAAAGGAAGTTCTTAATTAGCAAGGAATGGAGTGAAGATACCCTCTCTATTCCTACCAAACATGGGTGGGACAAAATAAATTGAAGCAAATCCAATAAATGATGTCAGAAGAACTAAAATCCTACCCTCTATTATATAAAAGGGAAAACCTTGATGCACAAGGCTCCCTTAGCTTGTACAAGTGTCGATTGTAGTCAATTTTATCCTTATATTTTTACAAAGAGATTGTTTTCCATACTCGAACTCATGATCTTCCGATTACAAGGAGTAACCTTACCGTTGCTTTAAGGCTTTAATATATGGGAAATGTTATACTTACTACCTTTTTTATTTACTACCTCTTATTACCAAATCTTAACCGTTGATTTTCGTCAATCTAACGGTTATAATTTATTGGAATTTAATAATTAATTAATAAATGTGACCCAATAAATTATAACCGTTAGATTGACGAAAATCAACAGTTAAGATTTGGTAGTAAGTATAACCTCCCCCTTAATATATACTAGTAGAGAAAATGATCATTTATACAATGTGTGCCATTCATGTCACAACTCACAAGGCTTTTCTTTGTTACAATACTAGCACGGAGATTTAAACCTATGACCTCCTGAAACTACCAAAACTCTTCACTACAAGTGGCTTACTTTCATGACATGAGGTGAATTAAGTACCTGATACAATCTGTTCAGCGCTTTTTTTGGGAGGTATTGACTATCCAGAGCATGCTTTGTTTGGTTAATAAATTCTGTTATGCCTTCCACAAATTCTTCCTTGGTGATAATTTGGTCACCATTTCGGTCAAAAGTTCTTAACATGTCTGCTATTTGTTCCTCTTTTATATTTGTTTCCGTTACTTTGTTCTGAAGCAGCCGCTCTTTTATTTCAGAAATTAATAAATCCTTGCCCCCATGTTCACTGATTTCATTGTATACCCTGCATGATGAAGAATTTGTGGTTATGCATACAGAACTTGTTTACAAAATTTAGAAACTGGGCATTTTATTCTTGGGAAGTAGATGCACATATAACATTTCTCACATGCCCCTCATCAATGTTGGGAGAAATGAATGGTGGTGATTAGAGGCATGTGAGATATGTAAGAAATGTTACATGTGTATGTAACATCTTTGAGAACTGTTTTTGTGAAACCTCACTCACCCAATTATGGCTGTTACATTGGGAGTCCCATCCTCGGAGAGGATCATTTGCCGAGTTTGCTTTTCAACACGTTGAAAAACTCTTAATATCAAAGGACCATGTCTTATATATTCTAGTCTTGTTTTCTGAATTTGAGGTCTAAAAATCTGCAGATTTGTTAGTAACAATATGAAGTCATGTTGCAAGCATTCAAAGAACTACTTTTACAGGATAAGATCACAGTAAGCACTAACCAAAACACTTGTTGTGCTCTAATATGGATAATTACATTTGTTAACGTAACTGTGCATAATATCATTAAGAAAATCAAATTAGAGAAGTTACTCGAATTTTTCAAACACCACAAGCATATGCACTGTCAGAAACACCTGCTTTCTTTCTTCAAATAACATCCAAATTACTATACTGCACCTCAATAACTTCCAAATTACTATACGGTATATTGCTTTCTTATAACAATTAACATTGTTTAGCAATTAAGTGATAGGATTGACTTAAATATGCTAAGATAAAGTGCTGAATTAGAAACCTGGTAAATGAAGGATGAGATGAGAAAAATGACAGCAATGATAAGAGCAATCACTAAGGTCACAGCACGTGGTGTGGAAGAAAGCCGGAATAAAGTAGGAATCTGCATTATGATGAGTGGTATAACTGAGAAAACCATGATACTTGCCGTACTCCTAGTTTCTGGTTGCAAAGTAATCCCAAAACCTGTAAATCCATTAAAAAGAGACAGAAAATGAAAGGAAATGAGTTACAAGTCAAACCATTACAAAGGAAATATGGTATTGCTAATGAAGATTTTGAAACATCAAAAGATAAGCATCAATTGCAACGCATATGGTAAAATTGTTCAAAAAGTAGGGATCAGTAGTTTCAGGCAGAAACATATCAATTGAATACTGCAATCAGTATTGATTAGTTTAATACCAAAAACTATGTTTTATTAGAAAATATCTAGCAAGTAAAAGTATAACTTAAAAAGAAAAAATATTTAAGAAAAAAAAGTTGAAAGTTATAAGGGAGATATGTGTAACTCATTTAGATAGAATTAAAATGTTTAAAAATGGTAGAGAGAGTTTTGTCGTCCACCTGCTCCTATCTAGCAGTCAGAACCAATGGATAATATAATATAAAAAAAATTAAAAATATAAAGAACATATAAATAACTAAATAAAAAAATTGAATTCAAAATAAGAAAAAAATAAAAAAGAATGACATATCATATTCTTAAAATGTAATAATATAGGACATTATCTTTAAAATAAGAGTGTATCCACCTTTAAATTTTAGTTGGTTGGTATCACAAAATACTTTAAATTAAATGAAGAGCAAATACACTCTTACTTGCTTCATTTAATTTAAAGTGTATTATGATCTTAATTAACTAATATTTACAAAAGGATACAACCTCACTCTCTCTTTATATACAAACTCATTTTATAGGAGTTTTATCCCACAACTAAAATATACTTTAATTTAATATATAAGGGGTGGTTGAGAGGATTGAGAATCTCAAAACAGATGGAGAGCAGAACAAACCAGTTAGAGAATTTTTTATGCTTCCACTTGATGAGTCTGAGGCATTAGAGTCACCAGACATAGTGTCATTTTTAAACTTTTCACTGCCAACGATAACACAGGTTCCCCACACAATTGTCAGAAGCAAGATGGAAGATCCAGCCAACAAGCCAACTCCAGTTGAAGCAAACTCTTGTGCACTCTCTTTATCACTAAAAAGTCCAGAAACTAATACCAAACAAATAATTAGAGCTCACTTGTCACTCATCAGAAAAACAAATAATCAGTTAAGGTTGTTTCAAGGAAAGGAAAAAGAGACTTTAAAATACAGCATACCAAGAATAATTAAAGGCTCTGGAAGAGCACGAAGAATATCAAAGACTCTAGCACCAAAAATGCCAGGTCCAAGAATCTTAAAGACTTGATCACCTCCAGCAGCCAAGTATGATTCTCCATGGAATAACAAGTACTCATACACCAAAATTAGGAACAAATGACCAAGAATGTTGTTGGAACATGGCAAGAAGCCATACATTTGCTCACAGTACTTCACAGAAGGCTCACTCCCTTTGAGAAACAGGTGTGAATTTTCTGGTTGAACATCATCAACTCCATCAGAAACCAACTCAGAAGCACTGCTATGAAGGGCACGGCCTTCTGCTTCTTCAAGTGCTACTATGAAAATAATGAAAGTGAAGCATGCTGTTTTTAACATGCTTCCCATTTTGGTGGTGTTTAATTCAACAAGAGATAAATGAGGTTGGAGAAAAGGCTCAAAAGGTTGAAGTACATTACTCACTTTCAGCCATCATTTCAATTTATATTTGTGGGGGTTATGGGTGAATTTAACATTCAAATTTATATCTGCATACATGGAAAACCATAAAAATTAAGATGCACTGAATGGTCCTAAGGTGACTTTCAACTTATATTAGTTTATTAAATATGAAATGTTTTTATGAATGTAGGATGGTAACGCATATTAATGATATGACTATTAAATTACCCACTTGCTTTTAGATGTGAACATATATATAGAAAATTCCCAGGTAGCTGTCATTGGATATATACAGGGGCAGAGCTAGATTGAAATTGTAAAGGGGCAAAATGAATTACGCTATAATGGGGGGCCCAAATAAAAAAATAAATAATAAAACAATAGTTTTACAATGGGTTTGCATTTGTCATTTAACATGACACAACAAAGTTTCTTACACACACAACATTTTGTGGGGCTCACACTTTTTGAAAAAAAAAAAAAACTACAGCATGCAAAACGAATCTCTATAACATTACACAATCACTTATCCTACAACATAATAGTTATAAAACCCTTTACAATAATATGACAAGCATACCTCAACCAACCGCCTGCATTGACTGCCAATGTTAATAGTATATTATCAGGACTATCGGATAAAACTCCAAAGGAAAAGGTATATTATAAGAACTTGTCACTTGAAAATTTATTCATTATTCATATAGGTGTACCTAGATATGATATGATATGATATTGTGCTTAAGTTTTCATGGTATAGGCCTGCGGTGGTGATTGTAAGTGGTTTCTCCGTGGGTTTCGATGAAATAAGGGGTGGTGAACCTACAAGGCATCTTGTCGTGCAGAAAGAGTAGTAGGTTGGTAGGTGTAGTGTACAAGGTACGCGAGATACCTTTGTTCTTTCATGAAAGAGGGTGGAGACCCTGGTTATGTATGGCAGTTGCTCAAAGGGTCAAGGGTTTCACAATTAGTGAATGAGCTCAATGCATAATGAGCCTAAGCTATATAATAAATCCAAGACAGAAGCCCCCTACTCCGAACTTCAGTTGTTCGAGCGTCGAGTTCGTAAAATATGTTGACTCCATCGATAAGGTCCATGATGGAGTTGGGGTGCTTTGCTAGGTTGCAACGAGCAAGTCTGATCCTAGTAGTAAAGGTCTTCGGATCGATTTTGAAGCAAAAATTATCTTATTTAATTTTTTCATTTTGATCATTTAATTATGATTTAAATTTTTTATAAAATTCAATCCAATTAATCAAATTTTTGGATCGATTTTTAATTTTTCAAAAAACTTAAAATTTCAGTTATACAAATAACTAGTTATAATAAAATAAAGTTATTCAAAGTTACAAACTATCGAAAAATTCAAGTCTTCAAACTAAAACAACTCTTAAAATTCATGAAAATTCAAGTCTTAAAACTAAAACAAGTCTTAAAACTCACAAATAGTTAAAATAGATTAGTAGACAATAAAAAGCTAAAACAAGATAGTTTTCTATTAATAACATCCAAAAACAACAAGATTCCAAGTTAGTATTTTTCAAAACTAATAAATACATAATACATTGGATCGGTTTGCACCAACGAAACCGAAACCGAAAATCGAACCAATTAAATTAAAGAAAAATAATTATCTCATGTTGCATGAGATAATTATCTCATGCAATAGAGACAAAATAGTGGGGTCCACTATTTTTTCTTTTTTTTTCTTTTTTTGAAAAAGTAGTGGACCCCACAATTTTATCTCTGTTGCATGAGATAATTATCTCATACAACATGAGATTAATAGATCCCTAAATTAAAATATGCGGGGGGTTTTTTGGTTTTTGATTTTTCAATTTTCAATTTTTGGTTATCAATTTTTCGATATGATCACTGCGATTTGAATCAGTTGGTGAAAATTCCTACTCGTAGTCTTTCTTCAAGGCTTAAAAGAGGGAGCTATTAATATCTCGAGATATCAATTTTCACTTATAACAAATAACATTAATAATGTGTTGATAGAGTTAGAACTTTGACGACCAGCATTCAAATATAACAAATTTAACGTGTGGTGTGTGAGGTGATTAAGCAAATAATCATTCAAAGAAGAGTAAGTGGGACCCTAGGATTTCTCCATTACTGAATGAGTCCAATGCATAAGAAGTCTAAGCTATATAATGCATAAGAAGTCTAAGCTATATAGTATATACAAAACGGAAGAGTGACCATTTTGCCACTGTTCATTATACTATTTACCAGAATGTCACGCGCACAGTAAAAAATCCCAAAATGCCACGCAGGATAATTCGCTACACAGTGTAGTGAATTATGCCTGCTGATATGTCACCTCCCAGTGGTCCACGTATTTCGCTACACAGTGTAGCGAAATACGTGGTCAAAATGTCAGAGCACAGTCACCAGCTTGGACACGTGTCACATTCCTGTTGGACACATAATTCGCTATACAGCCAATCAAAGTCAGGCCACGTGTCACAGCCACACATAATTCAATGTACTATATAGCGAATTGTGAGGCTATATTTGCTATGAGTCATAACGAAATATATACGTATCTGATTCCTCAGATCCAGGTGTCATCTCCCCAATAATTCGCTATGGGGCCTAGCGAATTATGAGCATTAATTTGCTACCCCTCATAGCGAATTAAGTGCTATAAATTCTTCCATTTCGGGTGTGAACCACAGGTGCGACTATTTTCCTTTAATGTAAGCTTTACTACTTTTGTATTGTTGTTGAATCTTAGTTTTTTTCTACTTTTGTAGGATGAGTGGGGGTAGGAATGATTTAAAAGCTACTGTTTATTATAATGGGAGAAAATATTTTGGTCCAAACGGGCAAGTGTTTGAAGGTGATGCAAAAATGTTTCGCATGAGCCAGACATGCAATCTTCACGAGCTCAAGAAGTTAATATACCAAAAGTTGAGATTACAACGTGGTCAAACTCTTGCTCGGTTGACTGCTAGATGTGCCTCGGGTAACCCCGTGCAATGGGTTGGTGTGGAAATTGTTGACGATGAAGATGTAACGTTAGTAGTAGATGCAAGCACTTCTGAACACGGCGAGTCAAGATTTATTGAATTATATGCAGAAGTCAACTATGGTGGTTAATCAAGCAGTCAACTTTCTCCACCATCCACTAACATCATCGATATAAACATGGTGCCAGTGGCTAATCCGGAAGATGAGGCCGCGTCCCCCACGCTTGCACCACCAACTCAACAAATATTTGATGAAGGCATTCCAGCCAACGACATGTACGATCCATCTTGGCGTACGGATAGTTCTGAGGAAGAGTTTGATGAAGGTCTTGTTCCGGATAGCGAGTCATCAGATACAGATGTCGACGGTGTTTTTGATTGTTGTCCGTCTACTGCAGTTGGACAACCAATTCCATCGCCAGGCATTGTCGGAATGCAAGATCCTCCAGTTGCAGGTATGTAACCATTAATGGTTTATAATAAAATTTGTAATATTATATTAAAACTACATGAATATTGGGGTTTTGGATATGTTATTATGCAGGAAATGATAATGTACCATTTTGGTCTGGAATTAGCCATTTCACGAATGTTAATTGGGAATATCCAGATCAAGAATTGGATGATATGAATGGAGCACAAATACCTAATTGGCATATCGGCGACGAGCTATATAAGGACCAATTGTTTGACACCAAGCAAGATGTACAGATGGCAATTAAACAATATTGTATGGCAAATCATCGCACAACAGTCGTAGAGAAAAGTGATACGAAAAGGTTGATTATGGTTTGTCAAAATCATAACGCCGGTTGTCCAATGAGGATGAGAGCATACCAAAAAAAAGGTGGCAGCGAATGGGTTATAGGCATATGGAACAACGAACACACATGTGTTAGTCAGACTCTTACCCAAGATCACAAGCAGTTGGACTCAAATCTCATTTGTTCATTGATCTTAGGTGCGTACAGTTATTGGTTCTAAATTTATAAAAACTTTGTCCCTGCTTGACTAATACATTGTTGTTTGACCACATACAGAAATGATAAGAGAGGAGCCCAGTGTCAAAATTGGGCTTATCCAAGAAAGGATCGCTACCAGCCTTGGATTCCATATATCGTATAGGAAGGCATGGAAGGCAAAGCAAAAGACTATTGTGAAAGTATTTGGTGACTGGGACGAGTCGTATGCGTTCCTACCTAGGTGGTTGGATTACATGTTGCGTTTTTCTCCCGGATCCGCCTATAAGCTGGATTTGTGTGACCATTTCATTGATGGATGCCTAGACCAAGCTCACAAGGTATTCAAAAGGGTGTTTTGGACATTTAAACAGTGTTGCGAAGCATTCAATTATTCCAAGACAATTATCCTGATTGATGGTACCCATCTATATGGAAAATATCGTGGAACCCTCATGATTGCTACAGAAGTTGATGGCAACAATTATATTCTTCCAATTGCATTCGCTATTGTGTCTGCGGAGAATATTGACAACTAGTTGTGGTTCTTAGCACTTCTTCGAATACATGTTACGCAAAAACACGGAATCTGTCTAATTTCTTATCGGCATGCGAGAATCTTGTCTGTAGTCAACAATGCTGATCTAGGATGATCTCCACCACAGGCATACCATGTGTATTGCCTTCGCCACGTGGCCAGTAATTTCAATCACAAGTTCAAGAATGTTATGTTGAAGAAGCAGTTGAAGAAGTTAGGTATGTTTTCAATATTGTCTGATTCGTATAATGGACCACCGATAGTAATTTTTTGGTGTGCTATGTGTAGGATATACAACATCGCGCTTGGACTTTGATGCTGGTTTAGAGAAGTTTAAAGAAACAAGCCCTCAAATAGCTGCTTGGATTGATCACATCCCGAAAGAGAAGTGGAGTATCTCTTACGATGAACAAGGAAGAAGGTTTGGCCACATGACAACAAATCTGTCAGAGTGTGTTAATAAAGTTCTAAAATGGGCGCGAAACCTTCCAATTACCTCACTTGTGCGTATAACTTACAGTAGACTGGTGGCATATTTTTTAGAGCACGGACAGAAAGCCTGTGATGAGCTTGAGAGAGGTAATCTCTTCGCCAAAGTTATGTGGCGAGCATATGTGGACAATCAACGTAAAGCTGCGACACATTGCGTAACTTCTTATGACGCGCAAAGGACAAGATTTGAAGTGCAAGAGTCGTATAATGTATGGTCTCATCGCGACGGTAAAAAATGGTCGGTTTCGTTATCTGAGCGTACATGTCAGTGTGGTGAGTTCACTTCTTTCAGGTTCCCGTGTAGCCATGTCATAGCGGCATGTACATCGACGCATCACGATCCCACACAGTACATAGACCCTGCATACAGTGCCAAGAATCAATGTGAAGTTTATTCGGCTCAATGGTATCCAATTGGTAACGAGGATTTCATACCGCCATTTGCACATGCAACAATTATACCAGAAGTGTCTATGAGACGTCAATGGGGAAGGCCCAACAGTACACGGATTCACAATGAAATGGATTCGCGGGAAGGCGCAATTACTCGAACAAGGTGCGGTTATTGTAGGGAGGTTGGGCATAATAAACGGCATTGTCCTTCGCGACAACAACCACAGCAGTGACCGTACAATATTTTTATTATATGCAACTGTATGTTATGTATTTCCTTATTTGCAAGTGTAGTGATGTATGTATTTCCTTATACAGCACGCAAGTAAACCTGGCCTGTCTGAGGGGGTTTCTCTTAATCCCCTGAGCATAAGCACCATCAACACTAGGAACGGCATCAGCACCGGGAACATGTACGGCACCATCATCACCAGGATCACCTAAACCAACAACTACAACATGAGGGTCATCATCCGCCTCCCCCATAGCCTCAGCAAGGTCCTGAGCTGAAAAATCGCAGAATGGCTGTGAATATGGTGACTGCAAGAAACTCGTCGAGTACGCTATCGGAGTGGCAATCACCAGGTCAGAATCCTCTGCATCTGTCTGCGAATGAACACTGGCATGTGGCTGAGCATGTGCAACTGATGGATCCTATGGTAGGGCAGTTGGCCTGTAGTACACTGTGAATGAGTCTAAGCCTTGAGTAGGCTGTTAACTACTACCGCGTGCATACATGGGAAACGGCTGAGATGGAAACCCATACTGACCCATAGGTGGACATGTCGACCAGGGTGGATATTGTGCAGGATAAAACCCAGGCTGTGCACCAGAAAAACTGCGGGGGCCACCAATACTGCTGAGATGGACCTGCTAAAAAACCAGGAGAATAATACATCCCGACAGGTCAGGGGGCATGGGAGAGACTACAACAAACGTATCAGCAACATGAGGCGTGGAATGGTGAAGCGGAAAACCCTCGATACGTGCACGTCGACTACGACGCTGGACAGGTGGAGGGTCCTATGTAGTACGAACCACCGATGGGGCTGTGGGCTCGCTAGGATCTGTCAATCTGGTAATATCATCGCAGCTGCAACTAACCTGAGTGCCTCTTGATAAACCTAATCCATAGTGAACGATACCCAACCCTCTAGCGAAGCCATATGGACCACCGTCTCCGCGCGATCAGCCTGCAGTACATTCATGAATTCACTTGTTAGTAACTGTAAAATAAATTTATAAAAGCACTAAGATCGTATTACAACATACCACGTGTGTCGCAATCGCAGCCCTGCTGGTCATCCATCGACGGGTCACTCTATGAAACCACCCCATATACTCACTATTAACAGATAAATGGCCCTCATCATGTTGCGCTAGAGGAAAAAGGTCCTGTAATACCATAGAATCCCTATCCTCCCACTGAGCGATATAGAATCCATGTCGATCCCTCCAATCTACGTCTGTCTTACCAGTAATGCTAATCGTCAACAGGTCAAGACAACTAATCGGAGCATGTGGAATAGGCTGCTGATATCCAAACTGCCGTAAAACTCGATCGGGCTACTGATAAACAACGACCTGGTCACAAATAAGTGGACAGACAGAGATCCATCTGCGGGCGGTGTCTGAATGGGGTGCATTACCTTTGAAACCCAGGTACGGTCTCCAATGAAACTCACATCTGCGCATAACGTCCATACGATGCCGGTACCTGTGAATGTGTGTAAACACAGTCTGCCGCACTTCATAAAGTTAAACCTGCAACAAAGAGTCCACATGTATTACCATACTATAACATTGAAAAACTTAACAGCCTACAATTTGAAGAATTTACATATACAACGCTGCAAATAACTTGAGTCCATAAATGGCATGCACATCAGTGACATCGGGTAGTGCAGGAGAGATAGACGAAATCTGGTCCACGCCAATAATTGTAATAAGAGTGCACAACCACCCATTTCTGAACGTCTTCTGTCAGTCACTTTGCACAATTCCTTATATAAGACGGCAAGAACTGCAGAGCCCCAACTGAAGGTTCCACACCACTGGAAATCATCCAAATATAATAAATATCTCGCAGGAACGAAGCTGGAGGCAGTGTCCAAAAACAGTGTCCCCCCAAGTATGCACAAAATTAATGCGCGAGTATATCTCATACGGTCAACCTCAGTGGCAGCGTGGCCTGCATAATGCTGAAAATTCTCCCGTAGGAAGTAGAGACCCAATAAACCTCCAGAAAGATCCCTACCAGCCTGTGGATTAACGCCTAAGTAGTCATTGACCATCTGCCTAAATGGATGCTGTCTGTGGCGCCCGGACACAACCTCACCATCAGTGGGCAATCCTAGTAGATGATGCACATCCTCCAGGGTAATAGTGACCTCGCCCATAGTCATATGAAATGTCTGTGTCTCTGGGTGCCATCAATCGACAAGAGCAGACACAAGCACATGGTCAATCTGAAATCATAAAAATATGTGGTCAATCCGCAATAAAAATATATATTATCACAATGCCATATTCCAAGGTCAGGATATAGTGATACAATAAAAAATTACTAACCTCATGGTTACGCAAGCGCGCAATATGGTAGAAGCCATCCTGCCTCAGCCATGGCTCAATCTCCTCAGGAATGTCACGGTGATTATGTGTCGCAGCATGTCGCACATTAATCACACGATCCTGGACATTCGGGTCCTCACAGGTGTTCCACACATGTGTGGATATATGTTTCTCCTGTAAAGTTAGAAGAGTCTTGTCTGAACGCCCAGGGTCAATCACGCTACGTGGAGACCCAGTACGAGGTGCCTCATCATGCTCCACAGATCTAAATAAATTAATACAAAACAATTAAATTAATATTCATCAACAAAGAATTCATAACTATTTAACTAAATCAATTAAATTAATAAAAGCACAATTCAATAGGTTAGAGCCAATTTAAGTTTATGCTTTAAATAAATTAAAAAATTTGATAACCAATCGTTTCTAAAATCAACACTAACTAACATTGAAAAATGTATTAAAGCATAAATAATAAATTAAATTAATTATTCCTGCGATTTTATGCGTTAATAAATTCACATAATTACCAACCTAAGGTTGCAAATATCAAAATTAAAAAATATTTATGCATTATTAAACTATAAATAATTAATTACAAAATTATATTATTTACACATAACCATTTATACGTAAAAAAATTAACACATTTACTAACGTAAGGTTTAAAAGATCAAAATTTAACAATATTTATAAATTATTAAATTAAAAATTCATAGGTAATAAAAATTAAATTATTTAGACCTAATCAATCATGCGTAAAATAAATTAACCCATTTACTAACCTAAGGTTTCAAATACCAATATTAAATAATATTCAAAAAATATTAGAGCATAAATAAAAAATTAAATAAATTAGACATAAGCTTTTATGTGTTAATATAAATTCACATAATTACCAACCTAAGGTTTCAAATATCAAAATTAAAAAATATGTATAAATTATTAACGTTTAAAAATTAATTAAAAAATTTAATTATGTAGACCTAACCATTCATTTATGCGTAAAATAAATTAACACATTTATTAACCTAATGGCTCAAATACCAACATTAAATAATATTAACACATTTTACTAGCCTAAGGTTTCAAAACCCTCAACCTTAAATAACATTAAAAATGTATTAAAGCATAAATAATAAATTAAATATATTATACCTAAGCATTCTAGCATTCAAGCGTGAGTAAAATATTAACACATTTTACTAGCCTAAGGTTTCAAAAACAAAATTTAAATAACATAAAAAATGTATTAAAGCATAAATAATAAATTAAAAAATTAGATCTAACAATTTATGCATGAAATAAAATTACCATATTTACTAACCAAAGATTTCAAATATCAACATTAAATAATATAACATATTTACTAACCTAAAGTTTCAAGTATTAATATAAAAGAATATAACACATTTATAAAAGCATAAATAATAAAACAAATATATTATAAAAGCAAAAAAAAAAAAAAAAAAGCCTAACCTTGTAGAGTGAGAAACCACTTAGAGAGAGAGGGAGTGAGGTAGAAATGGTGGGGTGAGGGGTGGGGACCGTGGGGTTTAAGTAGAAAACCAGATGCACATAATTCGCTACCCTGTGTAGCGAATTTGTGCATGGATGACACGTGTCCCACATGCGCAGTGCATCAGGTTACCGTTGCCACATATTTCGCTACACAGTGTAGCGAAATATTGGTGGCTTGACACGTGTCCAAGCTGGTGACTGTGCTCTGACATTTTGACCACGTATTTCGCTACATTGTGTAGCGAAATACATGGACCACTGGGGAGGTGACACATCAGCAGGCATAATTCGCTACACTGTGTAGCGAATTATCCTGCGTGGCATTTTAGGATTTTTTACTGTGCGCGTGGCATTCTGGTAAATAGTATGATGAACAGTGACAAAACACTTATCTTTTTATTTGTTAAATGATTTTTGTTATTTTGCTAATCATTTGTCTTTTCGTTTTTTTGGAAACTCATTCCAATCCTTCCTTTAGAGGGTGTTTGGTAGAGGAGAAATTTTTTTTTGTCCGAGAATCATGATTATCAAGAATATTATAATGCCCCTCGTCTGCAGCCGGTTAATTAACATTAATATGAAAGTAAGCGCAGCATGCTCAACTTAATTAATGTGGAAGCTAATTGAATAAATTTTATCTTTTTTCTTATGTATTACAAACTTTTTCACTTCCATGGCCAAAATAAATGGACAGCATTTCGTCTGTATTTTGGACCACTGGGGACATTTTTCACCATGCTAACTTCAACCCGATTGGCAGTTTAATATAATCCAGGCATAAACCATATTACCCAGTCATCCATGACAAAGGCTATCCCATACATAACAGGTCTCAAAATAATATTCATAGAGTTACTTATATGATTACATCAACCAACCAAAAGAGATTTAATCAAATAAGTAACCTAGACATTTACAGACATCAACTTCAACATCAACATCAACATCAACAACACCTTTATCCCCAATTAATTGAGGTCGGTGGTAGATGAACCCAAATGAAAGATACAAAAATGTTGAAAAAAAAGAAACATAAAAGTAAAAATAAAAATAAATAAATAGAATAGTAATAATATATATATATATATATATATATATATATATATATATATATATATATATATATATATAAGTAAACAAGAAAGGGAAAAAAAGAACATTGTATATATACATATCCAAAATAAGACCTTGGCAAATACATATCAGTATATCAATCCAATCATACTATCATGTCAGATAGTATCTCTCCTCTGGCCTCTTGTCATGCGATGCCTCAGCACCATCAGCTCATGTACCTGAAATGGTAATCCCCATAACGCGGGATGATATAATATAATTACCTCAATAAGCTAGGGACCCTTGGAGGGCTCCTCCACCCTTAAGCTCACTTATGGTATAATCATAGTACATAGAATATTCATATGACAATGTAGTGTGCAAATAATAAATCCAATTGGCCAAAGAATAAAACATGTATGCATTTCGCAAGGTAACTCATCTTGCAACATACCCGTACAAGGTAACTAATCATGTACTACGCATAAGGTAACTCCTTTTATGCTTCACACACAAGGTAACTCTTCTTGTGTGGCACACAAACATACATACATATACATGCACCATATAACAATTCATATCCACATACGGTATGAAAGAACCACCCTCCCTTAGAGTTTGATAGAACAAACGGGAGATTAACACTAAGAACCAAAAGTTTACCTGGCAAACAATGTCCTCCAACAGATCCCGTGTCCACAGAGTCACAATCACGATCTCTCACACGATCACAACCAAATTCCAAGATGTGAAGACAATTAGTACATAACCGATCTATCACATTCAATTTCCAATAATACATATACAAGACACCTACACTTGATTTTAGTCCAATACTCTAATTTATCAAAGTGTTCTAAATAGCGATTTCATAATTTTTCCTTTAACAGGAACCAATCCCAAATATGTTTAACAAAGGGACTCACCTACAAATCACCCTCAAATTACTTATACCATTGAATTTTCAAAATTGACATACAGCCAAAAACCATGATTTTTTATAGGGAGTGAAACAATGATTTTTTGTTTTGTCTTTCATCAAGAAGCAATCCTAAGCAAATTTAACAAAGGAAGCTATATACAAATCACTCTCTAACTATCCATACCATGACTTACCTCAATGTGAAAAATCCACAAATCTCTAACTCAAGCGAACGTGGATTCCATTCCGTGAAAATTGCTCAAAACAATGTTAGGATCAACTCTACAACATGAATATACCATAAACAACCATCACAATTCATAAAATCCTCACATTTTCGTGCACTTTTCATCACAAAACCTAGCTTCCTTAAAATTTCATAGAAACAAGAAAAAAGAGGTAATTCCTTACCATAATGTACCCAAAAATGAAGAGGAAAGCTTACTTTAAGCTCATATAACCTAAAACTCCTTCAAAACCCATATCTTCCATGAAATCCAAAATCTTAAGGGAAGAACTCTCTCTAAAGTGAACCTCACACGAAAATATGAGTACCAATGTGTTCCTCTCAAAATTTCTCACAAGTTTGGCTTAGGAACGAAGTGATTTGGAGGTCTCTAACTCTATATGAATTTTAGAAGATTTTCACTAAAAACTTTTTCTTTCCTCCCTCTCTGTCGTTGCCCGTGGAAGACGAAGAAGAAATAAGAAAGTTTTTGACACTTTTCACTTACATAGGTTAAGTGAAATTCAACTAGGTAAATGTTTATCTATCTAGTCACCTTTATTCATTACCAAACTTTACCAATAAACTAGAATATTTTTCTAGTCATGTTTCTATTTTTACTTTTATCTTTTGGGTGATTTTGCCTACCACATTTTATTCCTTAACTGTCATTTTTAACTCATTTTTTCTTAAAGGTGACTTTTATTCATTTACTTATAGGCTGCGATCATTATAAATATGCTGGGAAAGTGAATTTTTCAAGAATGTGACCAAAATATTATTTGGTAGACAAAAATGTTACTGGGAATATTGGCTCAAGTTTACTGATTCTATGTTTGGTTGATTGTCAAATATTATTGAGAATGTTTTTCTGAACATCCGAAATTCTAAGAATATTGGATGTCATTTTGCTATATAATTTGTTCACAAATCAAAATTATGAAAAAATCAAATTCCCATACAAATTTACAAAAACCTTTTAGCAAATGCGAATAAATTGATTTCTGAATACCAATTTCCCGAGAATCCAAATATAATTCATGTACCAATACGTTAAGAAACGCTTTAGCACATAAGCGCTCGAGGTTTGTAGCCATCAAGATCAAAATGTTGGCCTCGGGATTATGTGTTAATTAAAAAAAATTAAAAATTAATAAAAAGAAGTAAACAAAGCTCAAAGCTCAAATGCTTGAAGGCACAATAGTTCGAGCGCATAGCACATATGATATTTTTAGTGGAAATTTAATATGTATATTCTCAAATATTGATTTCTTGCAACATTTTTTTCTTTTTTCTTTTGGTAAACATTTCTTGCAACATTTTAATATCATGTCAATACGACGAGAAAGTAGTAGACTTTTTCAACCTATATATTATTTAATTTATTTAAAACTAACCTTCAAATGTTTTATTATTAAATTTTCAAGAAACATTTTTTTTCAATCATTTAGATAAACAGGTTTGAAAAAATAAAATATTTTACCCAAAATATTTTACTTCGATACCAAATATTTTAAGGATCGCTGTAATAGAATAATACACTTGCAAATGACTGAATTAAAAATATGGATCATGTTATTCTCAATATATATATATATACACATATACAAGAAAAACGGCGTTTAAGCACAATCGTTTAGCGATAGTTTTAGAATGTGGCAAATATTTTTGAAATGCCCTAGATCTACTAAGCTAAGAGACACACAAAAAAATAAAAAAAATAATTAAGGAATCCTGCTACGAGTATTATTTTGCTCGATAAATTCGTCTAAATAAGAAAAATAGTTTTCTTTTTTCTTTTTCTTTTTTCTACAACTCATTCCCATTTTTTTTCTCTAACCAAGTATCCTTCTCATATCAATTGATTATCCTCAAATCCATAGAGAAAAGAAAAATGCAATTCCCATTCCCCTCTTCAGATTCTCATCCAACCTCTTCTTCCTCTCCGACAGCATCACCACTAATCTTCAGTTCATCCACCGTCGCCAACGACGGCGCTTGTGCGTCCTTTACTTCAACGATTTTCTCAGAGTTCCAGGGTTAGCCACTCAAATCCGCAGAGTCTTGGTCTCTGGACTTGATGTAAGTTTCTCTGATTCGGTTCTTTCGTTGGCATTTCTTTGACAATTTCTTGTTACGATGATCCTTTACGCAGACAACTTAGATCTTATAGTTTATCATTATTACATTTTGATTGGATGCTTCGACCATAATTTTTAGGGATCTTAATTGTTCCTACTTGTAGTGCATATTGGAGTTGGAAATCTCATTAAAAACTAATGTCGCCTGCGTTTTTAATTATTTATATTTACTGTGAATATTTACTTGATGTGGATATGCTTGCTTTGAGGGTGAATTCCTGAGGTAATTTCCAATCACTTGAGAAATTGGTTATGAAATTATATTCCTTAACTTGTCGTTTCGTTATCGAATCCATATTAGGTTCCTTCATGAAGGAAGATGAAAAAGCCACTTTCAAGGTTTATTATGAGATTTTCTGAGTTTATTTTTATTGGGTGGTGAAGATTGTGCTCATATACCTGTGACTCTGTGAGTACTTCTAGGCACTATCGATAAATTATAAATTTATTTTTCTCAATATACGTCTAGCCACTAGCCAACAACAATGGTATAAATTTCCTTGAAATATTGCATTTGTGTAATACTTTGGTTACCTAACTTTTTTCGGTTATTTACCAAATTGAGTCTAAGTCGGAATCACTTACTGAATGAAACAATTTAACTATCAACTAGGTTATTGCCAAATGAAGGATTTTAATTCTAATTTTGATCTGTAATTTCAGCACAAAGTTTTGGACTTCCACATCTCAATGCATATCTTGATTCCTTGGGAACCAACTTCTCACATGGTGCAAACTTTGTAACAGCAGGATCAACTATCAAAGCCCCACCTAGTAGTAGTATTATGCCTTCGTGTAGATTCAATCCTTTTTACCTTGAAGTTCAGTACACTTTCTATCAATTTATATAAGATTTATGTATCCCAATAAGGCAACTTGCATAATCCGTTATTTGCAATAAATATTCATATTTAACCCTTTTTTAATTTTATCATACAAATCAAATCAAATCAGGATTATTGATAACATAAATGTGATTCGCAGTTGAGGGAGAATTGTTTCAAAAGGGTGCGAGACGACAGAAATCGCTTGCTCTGGAAAGTAAGGTCTCAATCATCTAACTAACACCAGGTTCTCTCTCTCTCTCTCTTCCTTTTTCATTTTCGAAATTCAATTCTACTTATATGCTATTTGCGTTTAGGAAGAGTTGGATATTTCCTTGGTTGCAGGATATTGTATCCATGATATTGTCAGAAATGCTTTCCATGATATTGTATCCGATGAACTCAACAAAATCATACACTCAGCAATTCATAACATTCCAATTTCTGATTCTGAGATGGATGATGTATTATGGGACTATCAAGGTCTCCATACTAGTTACTAGGGTGAATGCCAAGAGATACTCTTAGAAACGCAGAGGATATTTTATGAAAATCTCAAATTCCGAACCACCCATTGAAGGTATAACTTTATAATATCACCTTCTTCTCATTTAACATGCTACATTACATTATTAAAGAACAAAACTTTCTGTGTAACATTATTATTTCTGTAGTGAGCAGTGAAACAAGAACAAAATGACGAGTGTTCTGTTGAACATTTGGGTAGTTCTAGATTATGCCAGAAGATAAGATGGAAATAAAAGAAACATCAAAGCTATTAAGAAAATCTATAAATGGACCATGTGGCTGTAGATTTACTTTTCAGTTAAATTTGCTTTAACTCGCTCCTGCTTTTTTAATTTGGAGATTTTACTTAATCTCCCTGCAGATTTAGAAAACGAAATTGAAACTTGGGAAGATGAAGTGGATGAGTACTTGGCTCGTGCAGTTTATGAGTACATGCAGCTAAATGCAGATAAGCAATGCAATTCAAAACTTGACCATTTTCCCATAGTATATTCTAACTAGATATGGTCAGCTCCCAAAAATAGCAGCCTTAGGTTTTAGTTCTGCATTTACTTGGAATGAAGTCTCTGATTTGATTATGGGAATTGATAATAGGGGCATATAGAAGATATTTGTTGTCCTATTTGTAAGCAAGGAGAGCTTAAAGACAGTCACAATGTTATATACTGCACTCGTTGTGATCTTAAACTAAACAAAGCTAATGAGGTACTTACATTTCCTCTCTTTGTTATAACCCTTGATTTTCTTCTACTAAACCATTTTTTACCAGCTTAAAGAGAATAAAAATATGGTTTGTTTATTTATTTTTGAACCTCATCAATTAAGTGGAAGTAACAAGAGTTGTGCAATACTCAGATTCCTCACCTTTACTATGCAATACTCATTTTCATCCCAAACTTTGTTTCTTGACAGTGGCCACATTCGAATTTCTCACACTCTGATTTTAGTAAACCCAACTCCATTTCAGTGAGACAAACACAACGTCTTTTACTCACGATATATAACCTTAACTCCCTTTTTCCATTATTTCAGTGATACATACAGATCTACTAATTAACATGTTTTCTGGAAACTCATATTCTGGTTCGATGGATCTTTTATTTGTTTATTTATTTTTGTGTCATGGCTGAGGTTTATGTACACTAGTAAATTTATTAGATTCCATAACCTTAAGGCTTTGTAGATGATTGTGGTAAAGATTCATTCTATAAATCAATTGATTCCCTTATCGGAAACAATTTCCACTTCCAAACAGGTTTTGAAGTTTCTCGGTTTTTTGATCGATTTGGTTTTTCTCATCTATTTTGTTTTTGGTGTGGTTTTTTTACTTTGTAAACACGTGAATTATATCATCAACATTAGGTTAATTTCATATCTGATGGCTACTTGTGCTTCTGATTTTTATTTTTTTATTTGGCTAAGGATCTTTGTCTCCTCTTATTCGTCTTAAGATTTAGTATGCATTTTTGTCCAACTGATATTTTGTAGCAACTGTCATATAGAATTTAAATTATGTTTAGTTTTCCACCCAAAATAAAAAATAAAAAATAATGTTTAGTTCATCTTTATCTTGGTAAGTGGGAACATGGGAAGAGGTTAGTTAAGTTAATAAGTCAATTAGAATTGCATGTTATTCTTTCTTGTAAACTGAAACAATTTATAGGAGTAAAAGCACTTGCTAGATTAATTTTTACGGAGAATGGCTAAACCACTATCCATGTGCTTATCTATATTTTTTTAAGATCCTTTACCTCCCCTCTCTCTCCCATAGTAGAGATATAAATGGGTTGACTTTGGGGTAAAGGATGAAGGATCCATACGCGAACCCAATAAGAAATATATGTTCTATCTGTTTGTTTTTGTCTCTATGTCTATTTAGCTGTGCCTTTTCTCAACCCAAATAATTGATTTTAATATTATAAAAAGAAAAAAAAAATAGTTCATCATTGTTATTTTTATATTCGTATGTGTATTTTTTATTATTACTATTCAGTATCGCTTTTGAATTTATTTCTTTATTTTTTATTATTACTAATGTCTATGAAATCATTGTCGTTGTCTTGCAGGAATTTAAGCCACAATTTCTTAAATGGACCCATTGGTGATGTATTTATTGGCTTAAGATAATCTCAATGAAATGTATGTCTTCGTCTACTGGATCCTTTGGTATTGCATTTGAATTTACAAGACCTTTTTATGTCTTGGTAATGATTCCTCAATGCATTGTGCACTTTTACTAATTTGCCACTTAATATTCATTCTTTTTCTTTTGATACATGCTGGCATTAGAGCAGTCTTTGGATTCAAGAAAATTTATTGCCTTTTCTTATGGTCTTGTTATTAATGGCTAGGCTCGTACTACCTTAAATGGTGATTAGGGTTAGTCCTATTAAAAGGATATAGCTCAACTATTTGTAAATTTTAAGTGATCCATTTTTAGTTAAAATAGTCTTTAGTGTTTGTAAATTCTAAGTCTTATCAATGTTAGATTACTTCATGAGATAAAACAAATCATTATTGAAGTTACTTTTAATGATATTTATATCCATTTCCCCCCTTAAATTTTATTCCTTTTATTGGTTTTTAATTCTGTGAATTCAGCCACAATGTGGCTGTAATTTTTTTTAAAAACATAATCATTAAAATAGCCACATTTAAACCGTGGTAAATATAATCAATAAACGTAGCTAAGTCAATGCTACCACCCTCAAATAAAATGTGGTTAAGTAAAACAGTAAATATGGCTAAAATATTGCAACGCCACGATTAGCCACATTCACAAAAAGTGTGGTTGTTTTTATTAGCCACATTTTTAAAGCAATTTAGCCACGTTTACAAATGTGGCTAAACACCGATTTTTTTGTAGTATATATATATATATATATATATATATATATATGTGGATCATGTTACGGTAAATGCAAAGTCCATTAGTCTAATGGATAATGATATTTGTATGTCATATAATTTAAACTATTGTTGCACTTTTCTAATTTAAAAAATAAAAGAAAAAGAGAATGGATAAAAAATATGTATTTCTTTTTTGGCTTTAATGTTTCTACAGAAAATATGTGCTTATCTAATTCTACTAGAAAGTGAGGGGCGGTGAGGATCGAACTCATAACTTTGTAGTGAAAAGAAAGAACCATCTCAACCCAAAACTGTAAGGTATTGGGTGAAAAAAAATTTAATGGTTTATATTATTCTCTAACGCCCCTCACACAAGAACCCTTTGGGCTTGAAGTGTAGATATTGCACAAGCTCAATTTTTTTGGTTTATTTATTTTAATTCCACTCGAAAGTGTGGGACAATGAGGATTGAACTCGTGACCTTGTGGTCACTAAAGCTAAGCTCTGATACCACTATGAAACCATGTAAAGAACCAATTCAACCCAAAACTTTAAGGTTTTGGGTGGGGACCTTTTTAATAGTTTATATTATTCTCTAACACCATGTTTCCAAAGCAGCCTTTGATTCTACTTAGGTTTCCAATAACTAACCACATATGAATGAGTGCAGGAGGAGTGTTAAAATGATGTATATATGCCTTGAGCTTTAACACTCTAAACTATACTAAACATAAGAGAAATATGCATTCTGCCATGCTATGTGTACCGTTTGTGGTCTATAAGCCCACTATGTTCCCTTCTGGGATTGAGTCACTGTATGGGTTATACCTCTAGCACAAGTAGAGACCAAGCTAGGAGATATAGTTCCAAGTATGAAGCTAACAAATGATAATGGGGATTGGGTGTGTGTATATATGACTCAAGGTAAATGGGCAGAATAACGATACATAAGATGCCTCTCCTTGTGTGTGGAGAGGGGTACTTATAGTGGAAGGTGACTTTATCCTGTGTGGGTTGGTGAGGAGGGGGTCAACTCTCCTTGGGATTAGCTTAGGGTGGCAGACACTGCTATGATAGCAGTGATGCACCCTCCGTGCCTAGCGATGTCAGCATGTGACAAAGGACAATTACCATTTATAGTATCTGGGGCAGTCTCATTGGGAGTTATAATCCCAAGATGAGACATTTCAGTGTCTCATTTAGGGAGCGTCGTCGCCTTGAGGGTAGGGAAACTGAGGGTTGTTAGGGATGACGTGGACAAGGAGTTTGGGCTTAAGCCTTTGGGCCACTATGACGTTGGGCCATCCGGAATAGGAGTCCCCCAACTTTGTAGCAAACGTAGGTTGGTGCCAAGATAAATGGTCTTGGGTGATATTATCTAGACGGTGATCTGAGTGGTTGGCAGGGTGAAGGGTCTCTTAGTGATTCAGTGATGATTTCGGATTCTTGACGGTTTAAAGGGGGTTCCCTGCTTGGCGAATTGGCTTCTTGGCGAGTCATGTGGCTCGCGGGGGACTTCTTAGGTTGTCCACCTGTCTCTGGCAGGAAAAATGGCCTTTCAGTTTTCGAGGGACAGTAATGATGGATGCCTCCATCATTGCTATTAACTGCAGGCACTCAAACGTCACGAAGTACAACGCATTAATGCGATGTGAGGGGTGCCTTGTCCCCCTGTAATTACCATAGGGTCCTTAATCACAACCGCTTATTCTCTGACAGTTGTGTTATCCTACAGTCAACGTTGTGGGGCGCTACACATGTATGCCATCCTTATCCTTTTGGCCCTATTTAAAGGGGGTTTCCCCCTCTATGAAACCTTCTTCGCTGATCTCTGGTTCTTCGTGCTCTTGCCTTCTCCCTTCTGGTTTTCTCTCTTCTGTGTGAGTGGTTGCGTTAATCCTCTTTTCTTCCGTTCTTACTACCTCTACAGTCCTTATTACCTCAGATACAGTGTTTCTGGCTTGTAACTTCTGTTATTACTTTACTTTCATTTGGCTTTGTTTCTGTTCTCTTCTTTCTCGTGATGGTCGAGTTAAAGGACTTGATTGGTTTGGTCTTGCCTGAGTTGGGGTGGTTGTTAAAGAATAGGAGTTTGATGAAGCTTTTGATACGTTTGATGAAGCTTGTGAAGTGGGGCCGGCTATGCGAGCATTTCTCGCTGGTCGCGGTGGGGAAGATAGCAGCGCTAGGGAAGGTAGTAGCGTTCCCCCTTGCCACTATTTTATTCCTGGGGTTAAGTCATTACCTCATGGTAGGATACCAGAGCTTCTGGGTTTCAGCGAGGAGGAGATCCAAAGTCTTTTGCCAGAGAGGGCTTTAAGGCCTGTGGTTCCGTATTCTGGTGAGGCTCCTGGTTCTGGTCTCCGTGGTGGGCGTTAGGTCGTAACTGGTGTGAGGGCTTCTAGATCTGATAGGCACCGGCCTGCTGAATCTAAGGGGCGACGGTCTGGTGAGTCTGGTAGTGGTGTTAGGCCTCGCCCTTCGCGGAGGAGGCATTCTAGGTCTTCTGATCGTTCTCATGATCATAGGACTGGTTCACATCACTGTGCTTCGCGGCGCTCCGCTTTTGGAGTAGGGCGACTTATTTGGCCCTTATCTTCTATTAATCGTGAACCTCATAACCGTCCTCTAGAAATTTATTACCAGCCTCATCCCTTACAAATAATCCACCCAATTGTTGAGTCTCATGTCGCCTTGTGCACGTCTTGTGACCGAGCTTCTTAAATTCCCAACTCTTTCCATCGTCATAAATATGATGAATCTACTGACAACCGATTAGGTAGATACCACCCAGAGGATGCTCGGCTTGTAAGGTATGGCATGTGGGATGCCATTTATGAAGACTTGGGGCTTTATAAGGTACCGCCTGCGTGGTGGCCTTATCCTTTAAGCTATTCGGACTTCTATACATCGAGTTCTTCGGAAACCTCTGATTCTTCTGGTAAGTTCCTTTGTGTTTGAGCTATTTTTGTTGAGTTTATTGGTGAGGGGGTGTTAGTGGTTCGGGGAGCGGTAGTTGGGCGATATGGAGGTTTGGGGCTTGGTGATTTGTTGACTTCTGTTGATGTCGATTAAAGTGTTTGGCGTTTGACTGTGTGTTTGTCGCTTCCAGGATTGATTTGTGGGTAATTTCTTAACTACCATGGAAGTATTGCAAACAAATGAACGCTTTTTGGTGAGGAATTGGGTGGACAAAGCGGTGGCATCCTCTTCTTCTTGTTATACGAGTTCGGATATTTTGGGCGAGGCTTATAACTCTGAAGGTAATTTTGACTTTACTGAAAATGCTGAAGACGAGATGAAATGGCAAAGCTTTGTGGTTAGAGATGTCGATCGAGTCTGTGACAAGCCACGCCGTGAGGCGATCTCTCACTGGCGGTTTATGGTGTATAAGACTCATTTCACCGATCAGAAAGTGAGGTTCCCTTTTTCAGAGTTTGAGATGGGAGTGTTAGCCCATCTGCGGGTTGCACCCTCTCAACTGCATCCTAATGCTTGGGCGTTCGTTCGAGTATTTGAGAAGATATGCCAATATTTCGAATGGGTGTGCTGGTTATTCTTTTATTACTTCCAGGTGTCGCCCTCATACCAAAAGCTTGGCTGGGTTTTGTTGAAGGCGGGGGCTAAATTGGGAGCGATATTCTCCACGTACGTCGATTCGTACAAAAACTAGAGGGGGACTTTCTTCTGGGTACATCCAGTTCTTGGCGAGGGCGAATTACTTTTCTTCATTGATCGAGAGAGTGGGGAAAGTCGGATCGAGCTATATTGGGCTAAAGCACATTATGAGGTTCCCGCCAGTCAGAATCTTTGTCCCGGGAAGAGATACTGGTAGTAGACTGGTTTATGGAGGTTAGAAAAGGCTTCGAACAGTGGCCTACGAAGAAAGTGTTGTGTTATGGAGGTGTGACGGTGACTTATAACATTTATGACTGTGTTGTAAGTATTTATTGTCTCTACTAACATTTGTATCTTTTCCATCTTGCAGTTGAAAGTTTGTCAATGGAAGCATTGAGAACCGTGCGTGAGGCTGCTGCCAAGGTCAGGGCTGCTAGTGGTGGGATTCCTCCAGTTGTGCCTGCTGCCGCCGCAAAAAGTAAAGATGGAAACAAGGGCAAAAAGAAGGAAGTTCACCTTCAAAAGAAAAAGATTCGATCTGCGGCTGACATTCCTGCTGCCGTGCTGGAGAAAAGGGCGCTTGGGCCCATAATTAAAGAGACGGCGAACTGGATGGGGGGTTCATCGGCAAGCGAGTATCCGTCTTGCCTGGGCATGAAAGCTCGGGGTTAAAAAGGCCAGGAGAGGGATCCTTGGTCCCGCTTGGGGGTTCAAAGATGCTGCGCCTTGAGCCACTTGAGTCTAGGCAGTTGACGGATAGCGACTGCCATGGCATGGGCGGTTTCTTTGAAGATTCAGGTGATGGTGAGGTGATGGTGACCAGTACTCCAGATGGCGAAGTTCTCCTGGCAGCTGCGGGTGCGCAGGAAACTCCTTTACCTGCAGTAATC